TCGAGACCACTCAGCTGCTACCGCAGTAATCTTTGTATTTTACTTTTAAACTCATATTTATTTTTTATGGTACAGAAGGTATTATATTTCTCAGACTATATAATAGCGATTAAAAACTGGTTAGGTACTTAGATGTAGATTCTCCTATACAGTTATATACTAATTATAACTATATAGTATATATTAATATATAATTATGATTACTTCAACATATAATATATATAACTATTATACAACCACAAAAACCATTTTGTTCGTTTAACTTGTGTGACGAATATTATTATATTATTTTGTTAAATGCTAAAAATAAGAGTTTGGTGAACATCAGAGGATTTTCGTTTTACTAATTAATTTTCTTAATTGAACCCAAAACTTATACGACAAACGGGTGGTCTCGGACTTCTCCTAATTATGCATGTAGACGTTTACAGTCTTATAATATAGTAATATTATTATAGGTACCTGCAATAGAATATTATATACTTGTATCCTAGGCATATATATTTATCAAACATCTATATATAACTTAAAATAAGGTGTCTGGTGAAACATACTACTGTCTATTAGCTGATGTTCTAGGGTATAACATTATATACACACGTATACAGTGTACAGTGAACGAACATATTGGAGCAGCTGTTCATTTCCGTGTACAAATATTCGTCATTTAAGTTATTTTAAGTTATTTTATTCTCTAGTCATTGTTAGTCTATACTTAAATGCACTGACTACTCAAAAAAATGGTCCTAGAGCATTGATTAAATATCAATAATTCAATCAATGCCACGATCTTTTAATATAAACTAATATACAAATATGATTTTACTGTCAAATTTACAGACAGTCGTGTAATAAAAGGTGCCAAAATTAATATTTATAGCATTGACCACTATATCTACATAATATATACTTAACTTATAATATTATTAAATCATTATTCATAAACAAAAAATGTATATTGTAAACTAATACAAATATAATATTTTAATGCATTTTGCAAAATTAAACATCGTGCGTATTTGTTCTATAGCCAGGTGGCCAGAACTACCAATTTAAAATACATATCCTACGCAGCGTTACATCCAAATCCTTCTTCGTATTATGTATCTATGTACTCGTAGCCATAATAATATAATGATTTTTAATGAATTAAAATTATTTTTATGTTGACTATCTAAATCATTAACAATACTTATTTAAAGGTTAGGTTATACATAATATTAGGTTTAATGTATATGTTTATGATTCATGGTCGATTCTAACATCCATTATAAATACAATTATGCCACTATAAACTATAAAGCATAATCTATTATAACAAACATTTACTTTAAAGTGTTAAAACAGTTTTTAAACAAATATTTTTTTAAAACGAAACGCTAAGCTAAACAAGATAGATTCTATTTTTAAATAATTATAATATTCCCACGCGATAACAAAATTATATGGATTATATAACATTATCTAAACAACTAATAAATAAGATTAAATAGTAATAAGCATTTAAGTAAATTTTATGTGCAATGTGCAAAGAATATATTTATTTTTTAAATTTTAATTAGCTTTTGTGTATAATATTATAGTTCAACAATTACACAAAGAATATTGTATACCTTACCTAGTTTATAATATATTTATATACCAATCATATTATGATAAATATTTGTAAACAATTATACGAATATTGTTTATGTGCATTGTGCATAGTATACATTCAATATCTATCAATGCATTATAAATCTATATGAGTAAGATTAATATGTGTGTAGAATAAGATGTTAATTATTATTCTTTTTTTCGATTTATCAGTTAAAAAACAGTCTTTTTTACAGTGGATTAGGATAGGTGCATAACAATCGAGTACAGTTTGCGTTTTTATTTATCAACTATTACTATTATTATTACAATTTACAGAATAATTTTCCATTCAAAATACTATAATTTTTTAGGTCTGTTTGGCTGTTTCATACTTTTGTTTTTCGAACAACATATGTTTACTATCAATCACTCATAATGGTTCCTAACCACTTAGGTACTTCCAATGTCAAATCTAGTTTCGACTTTACTGTTGACATTTACTCGTAGTTACTAAGCAAATTGTTTTTGTTACGTCTTTAATGAGTATATTTTGTATTACCTACCTATTTATTACAAATTGTAACAATATTATCATCTCCAAGATTTAAAATATTTATTACCTATATAATACATTAACATAATATAACGATGCAATCGACATCATTAAGACGTTTATCAAAAGGTATTTAAACTATAATTATTCATAATATATTCATATTTAGCATACATGCAATAACAATCGTTAATTATCAAATATATTTAGGTTCATTACAATTTTTAAAACAGTAGTATCTAATTTAGTCAATATTTACTTATTTTAAAATTTGTTTTATTCCTTAATTAGTTAAGGGCTATTATAACTTATCACAGTTTATACGCCCATATTATATTAATGGTTATATGATGGAAAAAAAAATAGACTAGGTAATCAAGTTATTATAATGTAATGCACCTATTAGTTTGTTTTATTGTAATTTGTTGTACGCATGGTTAAATTATTCAAAATTAATTTATATATTACAAGGAATATAATATTATCTTTTGGTTTGTGTTATGCACCTATACATGTACTATTTAACATATTTTAGAGTAAGTATCTGCGTCCTATCTAAATAAAACATTATACAACATATGTATGGATAAGTGAGAATTAAAGTCTTTTATTAAAAATAAAAATACATTGATGATAAAAGATCAACTGGATTCACAACTGAAAAGTAGTAAAAAAGAAACTTTGAGCGTGATCTTGTCTTAGGAATGTAATTTTATTTAGGAACACATAGATTAAAGTGCAGGATCACTTTACAATGTGGGTATTCTACACTACACATTTATTCAGGGATTAGTACAACAATAAGGTACATTTTATATAGAATTTGGGATCCGACAAGAAAAAGTTTACTCACAAAAACACAAATACATTTAAGAAAAATGAAATAAATAACAATACAATAAACATGAAGATTATGGGTACTTAACTCGTAATATTTTATAAGTTATTTAAAAAAATAAAATACTATTACCTAAACATAATAAATTACGTTTAGTCATAAATCATAATGATTTTTTATATCTGTAACATAAAAACCATATTGATTTCGTTCAACACGAACTACCCACTTAAAAAATATAATAACATGTTGACATATTTATCGACTTCAATCCTGAATCTTTTCATAAATTAAAAAATAAGATAGGTAATCAGTATTCACCTATAAATATTAAATAATATAAAAAAAGGTACAAACATTTTTTACTGCGGAAAGATGATTGAAATACACTATTTAATTAAATATACGAATACTCCAACAAGATGATTCACCAAGCATGCCAACTCCTCCCTTTTGTTCTATAATATTGCATTTATTCAAATGTTGAAAAAAATATTTAGAACCATACTTTAGAAAGAGCGTCATTTCATTTTTCACTTTTTGATGTGTAGATGAAACATCCAAAGCAAAATTCGAACGAGTAGGTATTATTATTACCAAGTTATTACATTTTACACACGCTAAGAATAAAATTCCTTAATAGCTAATGGTTTACTTTTATATAAAATATTTAATATATGTAATATTTACTATTATGTAGTCTTCTAGTTTACTAAAACTTATTATACTTCGGTAGATAATTTTTACAAATTGTAAGATTTTAATAGATTAATATTATTTTACTTTAATTATCGGATCACTACAGCTCATTTATCTTCTAAATCTGATAACATGGACTATAATTATTCTTAGTACAATAAAGTATGAAAATTCGAAACTATTCGTTCAAATTTCAATTTAGGTTAGGTTACATTTTTAAAAAATTATATGCTTGACAATTTATTGTAAATATTTACTGTTCTAATTTAGAAAAAAGTTAGTATCGCCAGTTGACACTTTTGAAATGTCAAAAAAATTTAAGTATTTGGAAATATGATCTATAAGTATTATATACTTAAAAAATCAGAATTAGAATAAATGTTTAATTGAACGAAGAAGTGAGCACTGAGTTTGTTCGGTAAATCACTCTGTATAACAGGATATGTGTTGATATAATATTATCTTTACATTATAGTCAATGGTCAGTATTTATTTTTAATTTTCAATATCATATACACTTTTTAGCCACGTTATTTTACTATACCTACATTCTACATTCTAAATACACATATAGGAGTGTCTACTGCAATTTATGAAACGAATAGGTACTAATATTATAGTATATTTCAAAATGGTAAGTAAAAATAGAGAATTGTATGAATAATAATTAATAATAATAATTCTGGCGTGAATCTTAATACGTACCTATTGTATATATGAAAGTAAATATATTTTGAAGGGTTGAAATTCGTTAAGTTCGCACAATAGTATACTTAATAAAAACTTATAACTGATGATAATTATTAAACTTATTTTGTAGACTTGTAGTGATAAAAATCCAATCGATTTTAACTAATTAATTATAATATATTATTATATTATACCCACACTTCGTTGACTGTCATATACGTAATATAATACACAATATGTTATTGTGCTCGCGTCTAAAGTCCGTTTTAATTTAATTACCTTTGATTCCTCTGACTCACGCTACTGATAAATAACCACCTCGTCCAGACGATTTATGAATTATATATTATATTTTGTTTTTGACACACTTTGACATTTAATTACCAAACACTATATTATAATCTAGTACATTTTAATAACATTTCCGAAATATACGACGAACGTGGTCCGCGATTACAACTGAAATGTATTACTAGTTACTAATTAATAATTACTATGATACGAACTTAAGGCCCATTGTTAAAATCGTATACGGTAATGTATTGTTATGATGTGTAACTGTGTATAGCGTGTATAAGTAAAACTCTATGAGCCATGAGGTGCTACCTACCTATACGTAATTAAATATATTTTTTTATTTACCGCGAAACTGCAGCCGACGAGCGTCTGTCGAACGAAACCCACTGAAATGTAATGAATAATGGTATTCGAATTGAATATTTAAATTTTTAGTTTCACTACGAAACGCGCACTACATTAACTTATACAATCGTTTGTTATTACCAAGTACATTATACAAACGCGATAACCGAAAAACTACGAACTCAACGACTGCTGTCCCGTGTACGCGGCGCACCGACGACATGCCGTGATCGCGCGTCGTGACCGAATGACTGGGTTTGCGCGTGTGCATCGCCGGCCGCCGTCGCGTATAATGTAATATGCATATTATAATAATATTATTATATCATACTCCGATACTCGTATATTACATTATGAATGGGTTGGTGGTTTCCGCTGCTGCCGCCGGTATACTGTGTGTACTGAATAGTGAATAGTGTATAATATGTAGTACGTACCTTTATATATGACTATATTACTGCTGCAGCAGTGAACAATACCATGACATCGTTTGGAAATGTTTAGAAACATTTATAAACAATTTTTAACAACGATAATGTTTTTAATAATATCCGAAGTCGCCAACTTTCGTCCAGCGTGGGTCTGTCTGTTAAACGTATTATTATATATAGCTAATATGGCTGTACCACAATAACAGCCAAACTATGCATGTATATTGTATATGATACAAATTTTATATTTAATTGAAAGAAGCATGCATACTTTACAAGAATATTATTACTCACGCATTGATTATATACATACTCGAAAAGTCGAAACGATAAAAGAGGAAGGGAATAAAATAAGTAAGAACGTTATAAAAATTCATCTAAACCTACCGCGATCATTTGCTACATCATTACACATATTACATGTGTGTATACATTGTGTAAAAAAACAACAACAATAACAACTACGAACGAAAACAAAGATATCGTTATAGGCCGTAAAAATTGAAGACTGCAGCCGGTGGTCAGAGCTCAGAAATGTATGCAGCATAACATTATACATTATATATAGGTACTATACAATACGTCTACACTAAACGCGGTATAATTCGGTTAGGTGACGTTTGAGTAATAAAAAAAAATTAAAATTAAACTAATAATAACGAATATATTATATATTTATGTGTAATATAAGATATAACGTGCCGTTATAACACCTTAATTCTTGTCTCTGGGATTTTTTCTTCCTTTTTTCTTTGAGCAGGACACACATGGACATGGGTATACGCCACGCCATGCGGGTATGTTAAGCGATACCACCTGCTGCAGAGATGATCCATGAAAAACGTACATATATATATGTTAATATATGATATTATGTACATAGTAAAAAGAAATTAAACGTTTTCCTCGCCCCTTGACACACTGCTACTGGTATATACCAACGCGCGCTGCAGACTCGCCAGGCCCGGTCGGGGTAACATATGTACGCATATATACTACGTATAATGCGAGCCGGGAAAAAAAGGACCCCTTTTTTGTCCGATGATGGCCGACTCACTTTTTACTATATTTAATATTATACGAGGGATTGCTTCTATATAATTTACGCCCTATATGACGTATACGCGAGCACTGCATACTGCAGGGTCATAATATAATGGTTATATACGTCGTGTTTGTTGTTTCGCTTTACCCATGTGGATTATAAATCTCCGTCATCGCCTTATAAATAACTCCGTTAACGGCGGTCCTACACATATATATATATGATCAGCAGAGCATATAACGTACAGAATGTTGTCGCCCTATACGATAAATATTAAACCGAACTGTTTATGTGGAACCCAGATGAGAGATAATAATAATATGAGGACAATGGGATAAAAATTAAAATAGACAACCGAGTTAAGAAATAATAATAATTAATATTCATTCTGTACCTATCTACCGATGGCGAGCATAAATTATTAACATATAAGACGGTTTCTTCCATAACTGAATTCAAACACGGTTAAGGTCGCAAATATGCTATAAATTATAATCGTATGACCATTCGCCTTAAATAAGTGATAAACCATATAATATATTTATGTAAGCGCAGTAGATACGCGTGCCAGTTGTCACTTGTCAATATACAGCCAGTATATACATCAATATGTATATTCTATACTAAGCGAATTGTCGTCATAATTTTTATCACTTCAACACTAATTCATTTATCCATATTTAATAGATATACCTATTATGTATTTTTACTTTTTTTAATACTAGGGGCTCTGCCTCCTGCCCGCTTCGGTAGACAACCCACCTGAAGGCTTTTCCCCTGCTCGCTATTTGCTAGTTGACCCACCTTTAATCATTCTTTTGCTAGCCAAAAGAGTTTATAACTAGAATAAAAAAAATGCATTAAACATTATTTTAATTTTAAATTAAATATAACACACACATTACTGAAATGCTTCATCAATTACAATATTGTCAATTGATTTATTTTTATTCAATTCTGATTCACCACGACTTTTACATGGCGAAAATGTAAACAAATTATTATAAATTTGCATCTAGGGGGAGGATCCCCCTTTTCTATATTTTTATGTGAGTATATAAGAAGGGCGTGGAGGCACCCATCCATCATTTTAGCTCTTGTTGCGCTACTGTATTTGTATTAGAATACTAGTCAGTAGTCACTATGGCTGTCCACTGGAAAAAGTTACATAAAATCAAGTGGACAGTTTTACGCCTGTTCAAAACTCCAAAAATGTGTAATTTTATACCCTGCAGGCTAGAATTTATTTTTTAAGTTGTATAAATATCTCAAATATCAATGAATACATTGTTCTATTACACGTATATACTTAGTAGATAAACGAATAAAATTAATATACCCACTATGTAAGTATATAAAAAATTTTAAAAAATATAAATAATAATAATAATAATGAAAAAAAAAATATTATATGAAGTTTTTTTTGGAGAATAAAGACGAAAAAAATGTTAAATCATTATGAAACTATCAAAATGTTATGTATTAATTCATTGATTCATTTGCAATAGATCTATGTGTTTTAAATGAAAATTTAAATATTGTAAATATAGTTTTCTAGGTTTGACGTTCGACTGTTCAAGTAGTTATACCTTTATAGGTAGATATAATAGTAGGTACAAAGTATTTTGAAAAGCTGTAATAGGAAATAGGGTTATATAGTATAATAGTATTTTTTTTCAATACTAGTGAGTAACGAGTTATTATCATAATAGGCCTAAATCAAGTTTCAAAACTTTATTGAAAACATTATTTTTCTAAGATTTGTATTATATAAAATATGATTTAAGTATTAAGTACCCATAATATATTTACCTAGCTATTAGATACTTATTCATATTTTATTTTTTAATAAAAATTATTTATTTTTCAAATCTAATTTTTCTATTCGATTTCATAATTCATGCAGTAATCTATAATTATATATTTATATATGCTGGTAAGATTTTACATTTAGTCTTAAGTATATATTATACTGTCTACGGTACGACATATAATGAGTGACTGGGCGATGTCTACATATGGTCACATTATTAAATAAGTTTAAGTATTTGGACACGCCTGGTCAAAAACCTAGGTACTTCAAATTAAACAAAATGCTCTTTGTGTAGGTATAGAATTTTGTAGAAAATGAAAAAAAAATAAATGAAACACAATAGGTGATGTATATTATTATGTTAATTCTTTTGATTGTTATACTTTATGCACTAACTTAAATTATCGTTTACAAATCTGTGTGCGGTGTGTGTGGGTTTGCAGATAATAAATAAAACTCGTATCTATAAATAAGTATCTTTTATATAGTAGGTACCTATTTTATTATAAAATATGATTATAATTTACGAATATATATATCACTCATTGTTAAGTACAAAATAAATAGATCAGCATTATATTTTTTTAAATATTTTATTGTGTCATTCAAGTGACACAAGTACTAGTACACAACACATATTTAAACCTTAATCTATTAAAATTGAAAATATTATGTCATATGGAACATAGTTTGTACAGGTATCTATATATTCTCGTCACTATTGAGTATTATTGGTACTCGTAAATAGTTTTCAAAGTATAATTTAAAATATGTGGTTCATTAATAATTTACTTTATTAGGTAGGTACTTAAGTTGTACTAATTAATAATTATTAATAAACTATAAATTGGCAAAAAACATAATGCATTATAGGTACATACACCTATACCTATACTATTGGTCATTACTCATTAGTAAATTGGGCATCATGTAAGTGGGTATCTACCTAAAAATTACATAGAATGAATCGTATCTAGCATAGGTACCAATGTACCTAATATATTATGACCAATATATATTATAATTTATTACTTATTTGATATTTTGATCAATAGGTACTAATATATATTTAATATATACTATATATAATATTATATCTTCAGTTCATAGTTTTTTTTAAAAATATCTATAATAATTAATTATTTATTATAATAAGACATAGGTACAAATAACAAATGTAACAATATGTAATATTTAGTTCAAAAAAAAAAAATTAAATTAAAATTAAATCGATTTTTTAGTACTAAATAATATGCTTTTTTTGATAAAGTGAATTTGTATTCAATCAATATTCAAAATTAATTAACCATATATAGATATACTGTTTTTGTTTTATTTACAATTTTAAGATTCTGAGTGAAGCCATAGTATAAAGAATAATTAATGAGGAATAATAATTATTTCTTATTCCATGAATGGAACGACACTGAATTAATTTTATTACGATAATGAGTATTTTTTACGCTTACATTTTAGAAATTCTGTAAAAATTAACAACTGTAGAGACTTTATTTTCACTAAATATTTATGTACAAATTTCTAACATAAAATATTATAATTTTCAAAATATTTAATTTTTATTGTGCAATTTGTGGACATTTGAAATTAAAAAACTTTTTTCGTTTTGCTTGATTTATGTATGATAAAATTATTGGTTGCAAAAAAAAAGCTTTAAAATATAGAACAGTGTTCCTTCTTGTAAGTTGTTTTTACCGAAATTTAAAAATATTGAAAATTCATAATACATATAATAGATTATTACATTTTTTTAATAAGCTTTCAAGTTCAAATTTTTACAAAATTCAAAATAATGAAAATACACAAACTATTTTGTTGTTAAAATGGTTAATTTAAACACACAAAATTTGATAAAAATAATACAAGATACCTCATAGATTACCTTGGCTGGAATTAAAAAAGGTAAGCCTTAAACCCATCATTCACCAACATTTTTCAATCATTGAATCATGATTCATGAGTTATTGAAGTTTAAATTATGATAAAATTACATAGATATTCTCACAAAAAATAACAATTTCTTCTCAAAACAGTCAAATGATTTTTGTTACATTGTTAAAATTAAAAAAATATCAATCAAAGAAACTTAAAACACTCAACTTTTACTTAAACTATGATTTACATTTACTGCATACAATGACATTTTCAAAACATTTAGACAGTGAATGAATACAATTCATATTCAGATATTCTAATAAATTGGCTTTTTTCAGTTAATTTAAAAATAATACGTCAAGCTTTAGTTTATAAATTATAATAACAAAATAACGTCATGACTTGTATATTGGCTTTTTACTGATTAGGTACAGTTCCATACTGTCTTGGGCTTATTAAAATCGTATATGAACCCTAACCGTAAACAGTTATTACCCAAAAGGCAATTAGCTTTTGACTACTTAGCTATATTTTCTTTTTAGGTAGGCATGGCAAGTTTAAAAAATTGTTTAATAGTTATTAACTTCTTTTACGTACATGAGTATACTTACGAGTTACCTGAACTATAATATTTAGATTCCTACTAAAAAAATTTTAATTTTAAATACTTTAAACTAATACACTTATTATTATTTAATGCAAATTAGAAAAGAAAACCGATAGCAAAATGCGGGTTTACGCAGATGTGAATTGGTATGAACAAGAAATATCAAAAAATATTACAAGACTCAGGTAATATTAATATATATCTACCAATACTAACTAAAAAATGAAATGTATAAAGTCAATCAATCATTGTAGTAATAACATATAGTCAACTCACAATATATAACAAAGTTTTTTTGGCCAAAGCTTTCGCAATGTAACACAATTTTACAATTTCGGAGCTTGTTATTACTAATTTTTAATTTTAAAACTAGAAATGTTCTTCATAGATAATCATTGAAAACAAATACCAATAGAGAATATTGAGTTTATCATTGATAATCAACACATTTATTATGTTATGGAAATCGATCGGTTTTCCCGCTTTGACAATTAATTAGAAACATGATTTGAATGTATAATCACAATCCCCATATTATTTTATTTTATACGTCCATCTGAAAAGTAGTAATATATTATTGTTATAAATATTTTTATCTTAATTATTGAGATTGCAATACATTTTTTGTAGATAAACCATCATTTACAACTAATTGTACACATTTGAACGCGACAACGTCTTTTGATAATATAGTTCTAATACGAATAACTTTTTGTAACCTACCATTTTTAATCCTTTTTTATGGTCAACATGACAGAACATGACTGGTGTTCGGCATTACCTAGTGATTGCAGTTCCCCCCATTATTAAATTAAACTAAATATGTAGCTGTTTGTAGTGTGTTGATTTAAATATTGATAAATCTCATTTTAAATAATTTTGTTGATTTATGCACTTAATACAACGAACTGTTTTCTCGGTCCCTTGAAATTTGTTATATTACGACTCGACTGTATTAATATCTAAGACGAAGGTTAAGGTACCTACCATCGTAGCATTGTACCAATCTAAATTGCATACTGTAAATTGCAATACAAACATTAGGTATATAGTCTCATAGCCCATAGGTACCTACCTAAATATAAGTACCTATATTGTGCAATAAACCGCAAACTTTTTAGAATTATCATTTATGACTTATGTAGGTATTTTATGTGTTCTACATTATAATATACAAACCTTTTTAGTCTTACCTATATTTTTCCATATAAAAAATGTGCTAAAAAAGTTACATGGTACGCCCACAGAACAAGGCGTTTTCTAAAGGGTACCTATACTTGTAACTTGTGTTATATTGTTATATGTGGCCGTGTAATAACTACTAACTACCTACTTAGTAGTGTACTCAGGACATTAGGGCAAGATTCAAACTTTAAGAGATCGAAAGCAAAGATTTTGGGGCCTCTGGGTGGTCCACGATTACAATTTCATACTGTGTGTACGTGTGTATACTACCTATGTATATTAAATTTTTAGTTTTAATTATAAATAATAAAATAAATAATTATATTTCATAATTATTGTATCAATTCATACAGTAATGTATCACCCATTAATGTTATAAGTATAATTATATAAGATAATCTAATTATAAAAACGAATACATATAAATATATTGTCCAGTACATCACCACAGAATATATCACTTTCAATGCTCACAAGTCACAACTGATAAACAATGTACACGATCTTGCATTGTAATTTTCAGTCTTTTCTGTTTATAATTTCTTGTCTTGAAAATGTGTGTTCACCTTACGCTACTTCGATAATATTATATTAATCAATTATGTACCTACTTATCTATACTATTTGAATTTCCTAAAATAACATTTTTTATTTTTAAAAACTATTTTTTTCTTAAATATAGAACCGGACCAGCCCATATTACAATTATTATTATAAAGTGGTAACAAACCTGCAGGCGCTGTCTCCGTCTTACAAAATATGCATGACACAGCAAACTGTACGTTCTGAATAAAGCATTTAACACCGTTATGTTTAATTTTAGAGTGAATTGATCCATTACCAAATTTACAAGTAAGAATATAATCTAGTCGATGACGTAAATTTTTTTTATACATCAATTTTAAAGCGCTTAGCACTTTAAGAGCATTTTAAAATGAACAAACAATTTACCATATTGAAATTCTCAAAACTTGTTTTAAAATTAAAATATTAAAAAAACCTATGCCATCGACTTGATGATAATATTCCTACTTTTAAAAGGTAATAGGTTAATTCACATTTCACTCTAACGAGTCCAACGTACAATTTGCCATGTTATACGTTTGTAAGACTGAGACAACACATGTGGATATGGCATCCAATTAAAGCAGCATATTATGCCTTTGATTCCCTCCCGTCAAATCCGGCACTAAGTGTACCACTGTTTAAAATAATATATACTATTGTTTTTTTTGTGTAGTTGTTATCAAAGTGCTCATATGAATACAATTTATAAGTACCTACTACCTATTAATATTAGGTATTTCAAAATTAATATAAGTTTCGGTATATTCACTATATCCAGGACTTAAAAATGTAGCAGTTTAGAGTTAGGTACCTATAGATTTTAAACAAAGTTTTTCCCCGACACTTATAGACTATTTTAGCAATTAAATAATTTGAAAAATCTTCCCCCTCCTTGAATCATGACTGGATCTAACCTAACCATATTTCTACCAGTAATTTCATTATAACCAGTGGTTGAAATAGCTCAAAATAAGCGAAGGGATAGAAAATGTGAATTATATAAGTGGAGGGATGCTGTCCCTCTGTATCCCTCTTACTTCGACCACTGATTAAATTTATCCTAAAGTCCCACAATCTACATTCCTACCAGTCCTACCTTCACAATTTCATAGAACGTGACTAAGTTCTATGACATCACAATCAAGTTTAAAAGTAAAAATAATATAAAATTAAAATTGATTATGAATACATTATACATTTAAATAGCTTAACTAACTTCAATGTTAACCAAGAAGTATTGAACAATTTAAGCAAGTATCTAAAAATGGAGGAATGTCTTGTTAACGAACTAGTACTCGACAGAATTAATCTGTCAAATTTAAATTATTTATGTTGCTTAACACCAGATACCAAGTACCTACCTTTACTTATACCAAATATATAAACATTTTTTTTTTTTTGTAAACGTAAACACGTTATTACCATGACAAAATTACTTTAATTACATTTAAGAGTGAAAAAATTATGGCTGAGATTTTGTCAACTTAAAGATAAAGGAGTTAACTATCTTTTGGATATTTTGGATGAGACAAGTAGAAATACTCAATTGAATGCATTGTACTTAGATTCCAATAGTATAACATGCAAAGGAGCTAAACAAATAGCACAGGTGAATCACAATTATATATCTTATTAATATTTTAGGTAGGTTTTACCTATATAATATGCAGGACGTAGATATTCAATAGATTTAAATTATAAATAATTATTGATGTATTATTAATATACTTAACAATAATAAAATACATCCTTCAGGTTTTAAGAACTAATAGAACATTAAAATCACTTTCATTGGCTAACAATTTGATCAAGGATGAAGGGTCATTTGTTTTGGTGAGTGTATTATCTACATTTCAACTCAATGATTATGAAATCAATTGGAAATCTAAGCAAGAACAACAAAGAAATAGGCTCTTAGAATATTTGGTAAGTTTTAATAGTTCATACAGTGGAAATTCCTCAAAAAACTTTCATTCAACATCTTTGAGAACCATAACCAAATGTCCAAATAAGAACCAAATTAATCTACTTCTACTTAGGAGGACGTGATACCCGCGTGTGTTGTCTCCGTCTTACAAGTGCGTAACATAGCAAATTTTACGCTCAGCAGAACACGTGTAGCTCTGTTAGTTTAAAAATTAGTGCGAATTGACATCTTATAAAATCTAAAGGTAAGATTATTATCTAGTCAACCTTATAGGTTTTTTATTATATTTTAATTTTAACGCGAGTTATGAGTATTTTAAAATTGTAAATTTTTTATACATCTTAAAATACTCATAACTCGCGTTAAAATTAAAATATAATAAAAGACCTATGAGGTTGACTAGATAATCATCTTACCTTTAGATTTTATAAGAGGTCAATTTACACTAATTTTTAAACTAACAGAGCTACACGTGTTCTGCTGAGCATAAAAATTATGCTTTGGTACGCACTTGTAAGACGGAGACAACACATGCGGGTATCACGTCCTCTTAACAAATTTGCCTATAATACTAAGTTCAATGTATATTTTGTTGAAAATATTAATATGAGTGAATAAGTTTCAATAATAGTTTTCCTTTAGTACTTAAAATTTACTTTTTTTCAAAATATATAAGTCGTTATACCTATTTAATCAATGCACTATAAGTCAGTACCGTAGCCAAGATTTTTTTCAGGGGGAGGGAGGGCTACAATATTTTATTGGTAGGGCTATGCTACTAACAGGTATAGTAAGTTTATTTTGGAGTGGGGCTTACACCATAAAGCCCCCTGTCTACGGCATTGCTATAAGTTATTATACAGTGCATATTAAAGTACAAATTATAGGATACAACATACACAAATCTGAAATTAGAAAAAATCACATTAGCATTTATTGTAAGCAATTAAAAACAAAATATACATTTATGTTTTTGTTTAAAAAAATTAGTTTTAAATAACTTTAAAAAATTAAAATATAATATATTATGAAATAGTAAATATTATACTAATATTTTATATTTTCAAGTATGTTTTCAATAATTAAATTATTCTGAAACAAAATTTGTTTTAGACTGATATTCTAACTAAAAAATTAAAAGAAAAAACTATTCCATCAAATGGTAGTAATAACAATAATGGGTTATCATCAATTGGAGGTAAGAAAATATTCTAATTTTATCACTTTTTTTTTTAATTACCTAGTAAACCTATAACTATTTATTGTGTCATACCAATAATAACCCTTTTAATAAAGATATTTTTTTATAAACTTATTTAAAAAGAGCTATTATACTTAAAATAGTGAGAAAGTGGGTACCACTTTGCTGTAGATGGTGGCGTTTGGGTCACTTTTTTGTGTTTGATGGAAGCATTAAATTTGTAGAAATTCAATATTAAAAAAATTTAAAAGTTAAGTGTCCATAAATAGCTCAACAAATGTTGAAATTGTTATCATGTACAGTAAATATTAATATAAACATCTGGTGAAAATTTCTAGATCATACAGTTATTTAGTTTTTAGTTACACTAAAATTGAATGTCAATTTTTGTATAAATTCCACTTTTTTCTGATTGTTTGAAAACGTATTGGAAATTTTTTTAATTTGGACCCCCAAGGTAACTTGAATTCAATTTGCTAGCAAAAGCCACTACCAAAGTTAAAAATCAAAGCATTTTGACTGTCCCAAAAGGTGGTTAGAAAAAAAAATACGTCATTGGAAATTTAATATATTTATTGCTCTGCTCAGAAACTAAAATGAGTATGTTGTTCGATATAAATACTTATTTAGTTTTCAAAAAATTTAAAAACTTGATGTTCATCAAGATCTGAGTCAAACTCTCATTGCAGATATAATGCTTGATTTTGAACTAATACACTATCTTCCTTGAAAATGTTGTTGCAAATAGAACTCAAGTGTCAAACATAAACAATTTTTACTTTACTCTGCCTCAAAGTATAAAAACCGGGCGAAATTCATCTCTCACATAACGGCATAGATATTGTACAGTGGAAGGAGAAAAAAGTGTGTAAGAACTGGTGTATTCTACTTTAAAACAGAGCACAGATTGAATGGATAGTGTTGTTTGTTAACATGAAGTTTAAAATATAAAATCCATGACTGTCCACTTTCAGAAAATCTATATATTTAATAGAATATGTATTATAAGTTTATAACATGCACTATATGAACATAAGTACAATACATATAAAATATTAAGATATTATGTAATACATTTTCATTCATTTTAGTGGCGAATTTGAAACAGAAAGCTGAAAGTATGATTGTCCCAAACACCCACCCATATTTAACAGGACAATTATTTAAGAGTGGTTTGAGTTATCATAGTCCAGGAAATTTTAAAATTGCATATTTAAATATTTCATGTATTTCATATGACAGGTATAATCAAAATATTAAAATGCCTATTAATATTTTATTTAACAGATAACCGGTTTAGTTCAAACATTTTAAGTGTTATAGAACAAATAATTCAGTACCAACAAAAAGTTTGTGTGGCTAAAGAAGGACTAAGAAATTTAAAAATTGAAGTTATATAATAATTTAATTTTGATGTAAATAGATTTGATGAATATTTATTTGTTCTTTTTAGGGTTTTGATATGAAGCAAATAGAAAGGATAAACAAACTAATTGAAGGAAAGCTACGTCTAGAAAATAAAAATAAAAAATTGAACTATATGCACATTATATCATGTTAGTACATTTAATAGATCTCAACTTAATGATATTTTAATCACAGGTTTTTTAAGATACATTATATTTTACACATTTACAGAGTTTATCACAAGGAATGAATATCCCAATTTGTTTGAGATTAATAAAATATAAAATAATTTAATGTTTAATGTTTAAATAAAAAAAATATTATAGTAATACTATCAATAATGATCAGGTATAGGCGTATTACATAAAATAATATTAAAAAACAATATAATTAGATAACTTATAATTAATTATAGTTTAGTAAATTAAAATACAATTTATTTTAACACTGTCAAGTCCAAATTAGAAATACCTTTTTTTACATCTGCAATCCAGGAAGGATGAGTACCAGAGTCCGTTGTCAGAAGAGTGTTTAAATTAACCATGAATGAGTCAATGGTCTCATTGGTAGGGGATTCAGTGTCATCTAAACAAAAATATATGTAATAATAAACAAGATTATACATATATTAATATATTTTTTGCCTGGATCAACCACTAAGATGGCAAAATTTATTTTTGTTCAATATTATAGAATATACATATTATTATATTTTGTCATTGTGGAAGTGTTATACTACGGGCAGTTAGATACTTTAGACAGCCGATCCTTTGACAACTCCCAATTTATTATTTTTCATTTTGCACAGTTGACAGGGCAAACTAAAATAATTTAGATGCAACTTATCATTCTTAGATGATCTAAATAATGTGCGTAGCTTATTCATTTCTATAGTCGGTCAATAAAAATAAAGTTTAATATTTTAGAGTACCAGTACAATACGAATAAATAAAAAATCAATATATTTTTTAATCATTTAAACATTTAAATGTTGTTTCATTATCAGTTTAAATAATGCCTTTACCACTATATCGTGAATTTATTTCCATTATTAATATTTGTTTTCCTAATTTAACACTATAATATGTAAAACTGTGATTGTTAAAAATAATGGTTTTATACAAAGATTATTTGAAAAAAAAATTTAAAAAACCGGGGATAGTCACATAAATATGTGTATCTATACCCTTCAGACTGTAATTAAGAAGATGAAAATTGGAAAATATTTTGGAACTTAAAAATAAAAAACTGTGGAAGTGTTATACTACGGGCAGTTAGAACTTTAGACAGCCGATCCTTTGACAACTCCCATTCATTATTAATTTTGCACAATTGACAAGGCAAACTAAAATAATTTAGATACAATTTGTCATTCTTTGATGATCTAAAGATTGTGCATATTTAATTTTATCATTATTTATAAGATAAATATTATAGTAGTAGTACCTAGTAGTATAATATAATAGGTTTATTTTATTAATTAGAGATATTTACCTGGAAACGCAATGTTATCAAAAACGCCCAGAAGTAGAGATCGCAATTTAATTAAATACTGTTCATATTTTGAACATCCAGCTTTGAGTTTTTCATTGTTAGCTATTAATTTTATAGCTCCATTATTCATGTTTCCAATATGTTTGTCTAAGACAGATACTGCTTGTTCTTGATCTGTTACTGTCTTACGGAGGTACCTTAGTTCACTTTCTCTAGCTATAAACAAAAATTACAATAAATAAATTAAAATAAATAAAATAAAACAAATACTTACCTCTATTGAAGTTTAAGAATTCTTCAGTATATATAGGTATATTACAAACTGTATTATTGTTATCACCGAATGGATTTTCTTTTTCTAATTCTTGATCCTAAATACAATAAAAACATATATAATTAATTATTTATTTTTTTTATTCAAATCGGTCATATTATACATTTTTCATGTAACAATCTTTATTCAAAGCTTCAATACACAAAAAATATACAGATTTTTGAATTCATCACTATATTAAAAGCTGAAACTTCAAGTACTAAGTATTATTTAAAATAAAGAATTTTTGTAACAGACTAATGAATAGTTTCTTGAAAATGATCAAATATTTTGAAAAATACTTTTTTTAAACATTAATATAATGAGGTATATTTTGTATACTGTCGAAAATATGTCCCAAATATTATATTAATTTTTAACATATTATAAATTGTATGTGAAAATAATATAGTTGAATATTTTAACTAACTTTTTGGATAGGGGTTTTAACTTTTTTTTTCTTCTTGTGTTGAATAAAATTTCTGTATGCATCAGTCTTTTTGTAAACAGCTAATTCTTCAACATATTTTACTCGTTCTTGTTCAGCAGCTAAAAGATATTGCTAAAATAATTAAAAACAATAAAAAATGTCTATAGAAAAGTAATAAAATTTACCTCTAATGATAATTGATGGACAATTTTCTAAATATTTATTTCTTTGGTAATTAATGGTCAATACTTTATAATATATTATGAAGCAATTACAGTATAACTTCCATAAGACGCTCTTTAAGGGACCAGCTCAAAATAACGTCCTATGAAGAAATTGAAAAAAAATCCTAGGTGGTAGGAATATCCAGTTTATTTGTTTATTACAGTAAAACAGATTTATATTAATTATTTACTATACAATTATCTAGTTTGTTTATTTATTTAAGTTAAGCAAGTTTATTAATTACTAATTAGTAATTACATAGATATGTATTATAAAATACAAATAAATCTACATAATTTTTTTCACTTTTTTTGATGTGCTATGAAAAAAAATTTCTATTACATAACTACCATAGTAATTTATCATTAGTTGTTGATGAAAAGAATGTCTTATCCAATTACATAAAGAAAAACCAAGTGTCTTAAGAGAAAGCTACACCTGCATGTGTTATTCTATCTTACAAATGTGCAACATGGCAAAAACTGTTTTGTGTGGGACAACTAAGAACTCTGTATTTATAGTATAATTACAAAAACTTCACAACGCATAGAGAAGAACTTAATCTGTGTAGAAGCGTTTTTATTATTTGGATGACATAAATATAATTAAAGTTACCAGTTGAAGAACATAAGGTATTTTCTGTTTTTTCATTTAATTATTAAAAAATATTAGTTTGTGCTATCAAAAAATCAAAACATTACGATACAGATAGTCTTTCCTTATTTGTTGAGGAAATTCGGTATATCTACTACACATACAAGAATATAGTTTTCCCAAGCAAAATAGTTTTTGCTACGTTGTACATTTGTAAGACACAACACATGCGGGTGAGTGTAGCGTCTTCTCAACTGGTATTTTTTACATAAACTATACTCTATTCTACTTAAGAACATACTTCAGTGGCCGTGATTTTGTTCCAAAGCACTGGTCTAACAATGCAGCTGACTGCCGTCGAGGTATGTTCTTAAATTAAACAGAAAAGTATAGAAAATGTTCTGGGACTGACAGAAAACAGAGTCTCTTACAGAAAAACATCTGAAACATATTCTACTGTACTTGTTTCTTATCCGTTGGCAACTGGTTCCATTCAGTCGCTAATACTTTGGTTATTTCAGCAAATGGTAAATTGGGATTTTCAGAACGAAATTGTTCACGCCTGTCATTCAAAAATCGTATGTATCCTGAAAATATAGGCAAATTTTTATTTATTTTTACAAACTGAAAACATTTGTATTGATTACCAGAATGTGGAGGTCTTGGAGCTGTTTTGTCACGTAAACACTTTTTACGTTTTTTACCTTTTACATTATTTTTATCATTTTTTTTTGGCATGTCATTTTCAATGAATTTGTCCTCTTGACCTATGATGTTTAAAAGTAGTTAATAGGTATGCAATGGCACATAGGTACCTACTTTAATATCTTTTTTTTTGTTTTAATACATTTATTTAATTTGTACTATTTGTATACAAATATTTACAATTAGCACGATGAAGGGATACATGGTAGGTCATCGGCCATGGTTGGCTTGATTGAAGAAGTTATTCAATGATAACACTTCATGGCAGGATAGTAGTAGTTAGTGGACAAGTCAACTAGTTGATTAGTAGGTCACGGCACCAGCTATGCTTTAAACCCCGGCCAGGGTCACCCAGAATTGTTCGAGAAGAGACGTTTTGGATGAGCGGGTTTCGGAGATTTGTAAGTTTAAGGTGGAAACGTTTTTACAGGGTTTTAGCGACATTTAACTTAAATATCTAAAACCAATTATTAAAATACAAAATTAAAACTTAAGTACCTGATTTGTCCATAGTCCTACCTAGTGTTTATAGATGTTTGTTCCAATAAAATTTAAATTAACTGAGGATAATGATTAATGATAATCATAAAAACCTTAAAGTCTAAAATTATTGATTTTTACAAAATAATAGACATTACTAAATACTGTAGTATAGAAATATATGGTAAATGGAATACTGGATACACCACAGAAAATCACATAAACAGTAATAACAGCACACACAACTTGCACTGTACCTATTGTCCTATTACTGTAATGAATATTGAATAGTAACAGCCATTCAGTACTATCACTTATCAGTATCCAGTATCCACACTCCACATAGCCACGAATAAACAATATTATTTTTTGTCAACAGTGTACCCAACATAAACAACTAGGGTACAAGAAAACATTTTTATGCTCAGAATATTCATGGTAATATGTTCAAAATGTTTTTAGACTTTTAGTGGTCAATTCTAAACATTCAATATTTTCAATAATACGTTTTCCTTTAGTTTTTACACTTCACGAGTTTTGATTTTGCATTGATCGCTTATTGTGCAATACAGATTTATTGCAAAATTTAAACTCTAATATTTACGTTATTCAAAAGTTGATGTTTGATTAGGACACACTGCAAAACATATTTCTTTTTGCGGTAAACTGTAAAGCACTAAAGCGTAGGAGGAGTCCCTGCGGCTTGTAGATCTTTTTGACAAACTAAAGTTTTTCATATTAAATTTAAATTCGTAAAAGTAGCTGCAGTGTAGTAATTTTAAAATAGATAGTCATAAATCCAGATATGGGATCAATAGTTCTAAAGAGTCTTTCGGTTCTACTTGGTATTTTTTTCCTATTTGTAGGTACTCTGAAAATGAGTCCTGTCATCAGTAAAGAGCTGCACAAGGATCTCGTAAGAAATAATTTATGTCAATAAATAGTTATTACTATTATTAGGTATAATATTATCTATAACATGATAAGTGTTTTTGGGTTTATCAAGGTTTAAAATTTAAATAAATTGGTAGGTACTGAGAATTAACAATAATTTACTACTTATTTCAATTGGATATTTAATTCATATTTACAAAATTTTAAAAATAGTTTTAGTTGCTTAAAAATTAGAAACCTGTATTTATTAAAATAAACAATAATTTTGTTAATGTTAGAACCCATTAAAAAAATAATAATTTTCTGTTATATTTCTACAGGATTCACAAAAATTCAATTTTAATATGTAATAATAAATATTTACCTCTGTATTTAATATTTATTTAAATTTTTTGTGATAGTTGTAATTCATGTTAGCTTACATGTTTATTCAAATATTTTAACTTAATTGAGATTAATAGAACATTATTTCAAAATATCGTGAATTATGAATGTAAATACATTTTTTCTTTAACCTGGAAACCATATAATTTTCCTATTTAAAATTTAATTAATCTTGTAAAATTAAATTTATGTTCAACTAATGGTAAAAGTTCATATTACTAGGTACCATTTAAAAAAAAAAAATTATAAATTAATTGTGAAGATGAATTATAAAATAATATTAGATATTCCTTCCTGATATAATTTTTTTTTAATTGTATTTAATTTATGGCGTTCTTATTAATTTGTATAACATACCAAAGTGTCATAATTTTTAGACAGTTATATTGATTTATTATACCTAGTGTTTAGGTAAGAAATATTAATTTATAACACTAATTAGCTCATTGAATCAAAATGATTTAGATAACTTAAATGGAAACTTATTATTATAAACATGAATATTGTATAGTGTTTTTGATGAATCTATTTGTGGTTAAATGTGCTGCTTGGCAAAATGCCCACGCATGAATTTAAAATATTTGGCACTAGCGTAAATTTGTTTTAAGATTCTACCAAAATATGTAAGTATTTATCAATAGTTTATTCAGAAACTAAGAGGTTTTAAAAAATATTTGTATGAGTTAATTATCTCTATATGGCTATTAAAATGTTTTGTATTGTTTATTGAGAAGTAGGGGGCAGGTACCTATAATGTAATTAATACAATATTTAGAATAAAAATTGATTTATTCAAATTGTAAAAAATGGTTTATTGCTCTTCTTTCAACACCTACTTATATACTATTCATAAATAGTAATTGAAAGTTATTAAATGATTTGTCAAATAAATATAATTTTTCCAAATTATATTACCTAATTTGTTATTTAATATTAATTCGCTCTTTTATATAATGTACCAAAATATTTAACCAATTGACTTGAAAAGTACTTACATCTATGTAGAATGCATATTTATCTTATTTGACTAAAATAAATTGACTGTTATCAATGATTATTATAATATATCTAAAAGTGTACTTTATTTCAGCGGAAGGATTATGTTAAGTATGCCAAAGTATTTCCACTGTCAAAAATGATTGACTTTAAAGTGCCAGCCAAATGGTACAGAAGAGCTGTCGGTGGTACTGAAGTATTAAGTGGTGTTTGCTTGGCATTTGTTCCTTATAGTAAGTATTTGACAACAAAATTAACTAGTGTTTTTAAACCCACTTAATGCTTATATAAATATTTAATATAATTTATACGGTTAATTTTTTCTAATTTAAGGAAATGTTAAACAAGGGGCAAACATAACTCTTTTGATGTCACATTTATTGGCTGTTTATACTCACTATGCAGCCAAAGATAAATTTGAACGAATGGCTCCTGCACTTGTGTTTTTATTCATGTTAGCTGGAAGATTGGTTATTGATTATCAACTGAGACGCAAAGAACTGGCAGAAATTGCTGAACCTAAAGCTCAAAAACAAGAATAGAAAGAAAACAATTTTCCCAAACTTAGCTCATTTTTATTAAAATTTTTGCACATTAATTATTGTAAGGATTTGTTTTAACTAAAGCTTGGGAAACACAACCCCTGTTCCATCCCTCCAAAATATGATAACAAATTTTTGTGTTCATTCATTCTAGTCATTTATGTTAGTACCTATGTAAATAATTTGTGTGTAGGGTGTGAATTAATTTATACTTAGATTTTTTTTTGATCAATTTAAACGTCATGTATATTAAAAATAAAAATAATAATTTAAAACAATGTATACATATTATGAATACTATTATAATAATTAGTAATTAATAACTATGAATCTTCACCAGTTGTTAGTAATTTCAGTGCTTTTTGTAAATTTGCAATAGACTCAGAAACATCATCGTAGGTTAATGCACTAGCAGCAAACTTGCAATATTTCTGTGCTTTAGTGATTTGTGACGGTGAAAGTTGTATTCCATCTAAAATGTAAAATAACTTTTATTTTTCTGTAATAATAATTAAACCTCACCCAACTCAAAATTTACTATTGTTATAAGACTTTTAAAAATAAAATATTAGATACCTATTCAGTTTGTTAGGTTAGCTACACTTATATTTTGAGCGTTTTTTAAATTAAGAATTTAGGAAAATTTCACCTCTGAGTAAGATTGGTCTTCCTGACACAATTGGTTGTATTTCTGTTGGACTGACTGTGGACGTGTTTGGTATTTGTTGATACTCATTAGGAGTTGATGCAGGATAATCTGAAATTGTACATTGTATTATACTTTATGCAGGGAATTTTACTATGAATTAGCTTTATGATTTCTCAGTATTAGTATAAATATCTATTAACCTTCGTATGTATGTTTAGTAGGCGTTACAGGAACAAAATTATCTGTAGGTTGTTGAGTGACTTCTCCTTGGTTAGGAAAGTTGAATCCAATTTGTCCACTTTCTGCAGCTGGTGGTCCAGGTGTAGGAGTCTCACCATTTTTCATGCAGTTATGTATGTACGTAGCCTTCCATTTTGCATATTTTTGAGTATTTGTGATCTCTTCGGAAACATCCCCAAATACACTTAATACATCCATAAGTAGTCCAGCAGTGAAAAACAATTTAACTATATTCCTAATAAAATAAAATCACACTTAGAAAAGAAAAAACGATATAAATTATTCCTACTTACTTATTATAATTTGCCTGACGATCCATTCCATCTGCAAAATTAAACATTTTTATTGCATAATTTTCTATGTGTGCTTGAGCAGCAGTCTCATTTATGATCATGTCATTATCCTTTAAATTATGTTTTTGTTTCTCCAACCAATCCATTAGAGACACTAAAAACATTTTCGCGTCTTTCGATGATTTGTCTAAAGTCAATGCTGCTTGCAAGGCATAAAGCCGACCTAGGACAAAAAAATTACTATCATGCTCATTTAGATTTCTCTATGCCGAATAACTCACACCAATAACTGATTATTGGATCTTTAGAATCGTGTTCTAAAGCGATTTTTAGATGATGTTGAATCTTCTTCAGACTTTCCGGACATTCGGGTATTCCTGCCATCCTGTCTAAACGATTTAGATTCTTCGAATTGAATTCAAAAAACGAAATGGAATGACATTGTGTGTAAACAATATAAATTAAAAAAATATATTAGTAATGTTTTCAGTTAATGATCTTGAATGTTGATAGTAAATTTGTGACCACTGACGAGTAAATGATGACTAATGAATAGTCACCAAGGAATACAATGCACTATTCAGGAACTGGGGGACACATATATGATATATTATTATTATTAAAGTTATCTTGAATCTTGATATTTGTTAATCAAATCACAGAATAGCCTGCTGCTGATATTCTAAAACAAAATAAGACGACGAACAAAATGTATGATACGATATCATTATGCGACGACTCGACTCGTCGTTGGCTGCACCGATTTTATCGTTTCGATTGGTTGGCGCGTTGTATCCGTATCACAATCCTAGGATAATTTTTTTTTTGTGGATACCTAGTCGCCTGTAGTTGAATTGACTGTTCTTATTTCTTAAACACATTGTAAACCGTAACTTGGGCAATTTTTGTTTATTTTATCTACGTACACAAATAATATAAGGGCATTGTGTATTAGTTTGAATTTTTTTTATTTTGTGATACGCAAACAACATTTTTCATTTGTCGTTATTACTGTGCGTTGTACAAATAGCTTAGCTTCGACATGAGTAATAATAATAAATCGGCATTATTTGCTTGCTCAAAGTGTTTCAAACGGTATTTGTATGAAGATTTGTCGTCTGGGCAACAGCTCTGTAAAGTACGTAATTTAGTGACATTTTTCGTTTTACCTAATCGCCATTAGACGATAAACAAACGTTTACATAATATGCCATTATTGTGTGTTTTAGGAATGTCGAGGATCATATCCTGTAGTCAAGTGTACTTATTGTCGGTCCGAATTCCAACAGACTGAGTAAGTAGTGACACAAATTAATCTTACTTCTAAAAAACTAATGATTGTCATAGACCCTATTAAAAATGAATTAACAAATCACTTAATTTTATAGCCGTAAGCTTTGTAATGAAAGATTTTAAAACTGAGTACTTATATGTGTGTTTCAACAATTTATAATTATTTCTTAATATTTTTAGTAAATCAAATACAAGTACAATTTGTAAAAAGTGCGAACAATTTGTGGCTCAATATGGTAGACCAACCGCATGTAGTTACTGTAATATCATAGCTGCATTCATTGGCCAAAAATGTCAACGTTGTGCAAATTCTGAGCGCAAATATGGCCCACCTGTGACTTGTGATCAATGCAAGCAAAATTGCGCATTTAATAGGAAAGATACAGATTGTGAAGTAATAATTAAATAATCAACATTTAAAAATAATTTTTTTTCTTATGATTTATTTCATTTTAGTTGCTTGATGGAAAAGTATTATGCTGGTTATGCACTTTATCATTTAAACGAGCCCTAGCAAAAACAAAAAAAACTGATGCTGAAATGAAACTATTAGTAAAAAAACGTGATGGGTTAGTATTATAGTTATTATAGTTATAACCATTGTGACATTAGAAAGTGTCAAGTTTCATATAAATTAAATATTAATTTTCAGGTCAAAAAATAGTAAAACTAAACATACAAATGTAATGAAACTAATTGATGATAGTGGTCCAGATTTTGCTTTGCCTCCACCATCAAAAATGCATCGAAATTCTCATAGGCATGTCGATGTAAATTCAGATAATGTAGTGGTTATTACCGACCTCAAAGAACAAATAGCCATGTTGCAAAAACAATCTAATCAAAAAAGTTGTCAACTATTAAACAAAGAAAAATTTGTAAGAGATTAATATATTTTTCTACAAAAGAATAAACATATTTGTTTTGTATTCATGTTCTAGTAATTTACAATTTATTTATTAGATAACCGAATTGAAAGCCAAACATTTTACAACGGAAAATGAATTGCGCAATAAAATGAATTCAGACAAAAAGGAGTACAGTAGAGAAGTTGAAATGTTGCATAGTAAAATCAAGTGTTTGCAGAAAGAAGTTGCTACATTATCCAAAAGTGGCGGTAAACGTGGTGTACATCTTCGTAAAGAACACGATAGTGGTAGTGGTACTGATAGTCCATCTGTGACATAGTTTTAGTGTTGTAAGTACTACAAGTTAATATTGTATTTGGTATGTACTTTGTGATTTATTTAGTGATATACAATTTTTTTTAATTTAATCATTGTATTGACATAATAAATATGTCATCTATACAATTTTAACCTATTTTCTGTAACTGATTAATTTATTAAGAATTATTCTTAATTAAATTCTGTTTTAATACATTTTCCTTTTACTCCTCTACATTTAATAATTGCTCATCTGAAATACTGTTAGTAAGTAGCTCTATATTATAAACTATTACATAAATATATTTGATTTTCTGTACTTTTTAATTTTAAAATTATTACCTAATCATAATTTTTTTTTTATATTATGAATGTTTTTTTTTAATTTTAAGTTATTTTGAAGATAAAAATTAGATGTTTTAAAATTAACTACTTACCTATGTTTAATACTGGGAAAAATTTAAGTAAACAAATTTTTTATATATATTTATGTACATATTTGTGTATTGTCGGCGGCCAAATGAACACAAACTAGATTTCTATAATAGTATGATTTTTAATTTATCCATTTGTGCAATTATTTTTAATTGAATTGTCATAGAACAATATTTGTAATAAAAAAAATGTGATTTAAAATACATGTTTTAATAGTGATTATTGAGTATCATTGTGAATAGTATTTTTCTGCATCGTTTAAAACCGATTTTAGTGAATCCAGGTATTTATCCAACCATTTATATAAATTCATTAATCATAATATTTGCATCTACTTATTTAAAATAGATACTCACATAAATTATTTAAGGAAAAGTGTTAACATTATTGTTCCTATAATACAAATTGTTCATTTTTAAGTCATACTTACTAATTTCTATTATGCAAAATCTAACTATTATGAAATAAAAGCTATATTATAATAAAAACATTGTATCATTTTGCAACCCTTCTTGCAACCCTGCGTGATAAGAGAAAAAAATCAATACCTGTAATCTGTACTATAAGCAGTACTGGCACCAGCCTATGCTCTGTACTGCTAGAGACTCTGCACTTAAAACTAATCCCGATATAGTCATAACAATAAGTTTAACAAAATAGAATAATTATTCAATTTTAAACTTATAACTATACTTGGTTTTAAAGTAATTTAAAATTTGTTTCTTTCATTATGACTTCTTCTGGTTTCGGTCTTTCTATAATTAGTATACCATCAGTTTTTAATGACACTATCACTAATAGTACGTCATTTACTGAACATACAGGTAAGTTTAACAAATTATACAATGCTTCCTTAAATTAATTTATCCATTTATTGAATAAACCATATAATGTAAAAAATGTTTTCAATCTATTTTATGTAGTTTGGTGTATTGATTGGCGACCGTCACAACATTGGATGTTTCAGATAGCTAATGTTCTGTTTTTTGTAGCATATTCTGTGCCAACTAGTTATTATGGCATATTATTTATGCACTCAACTTTAATTGCAGGTACAGTCCAAAAAAACATTACATTTATGTTATTTTCTTGTTCGTTATTTGTCTAAAAATTATTGTCTTAACCTCATTAATCTTATCTCAGTACCTATACTCTATTCAAAATAAGAATAATAGTTAGTCAGATGAGTCCATTGTTTTTTAATGAAGCCATGCCCTAACACACAAGTAGGCTGCTGACTACCATTTTTATTTTGAATAGATTATGGTATCTACCAAAATTACCTTTCAACAAATAAAAAGTAGATGAGTATTTGATCAATAGGTTCTTAATTTTGGTTTTAGGTTTTCTTATACTCATTACTTGGGCTTGGAGAATAGTGTGTGCACCTGATTTATTCACTTGGAATTTATGTTTTCTTTTTATTAATATTCTACAACTAATTTATCTTATTTATCAAAGAAGACCGATTAATTTTAATCCAGAACTTGAACAAATTTATCGCAACATGTTTAAGCCTTTTAAGGTAAATTATTGTCAATAACCAAACTGTATTCTATTTAAGAATAAACCACCATTCATATGAAAAATTACCAAAGAACAACATCTAGACATCAGGGCTTTTAGCTCTACTAATGGTCATCATAATCAAGGCCGTAACTGGAAAAAAATTTCGGGGGGGGGGTCTAACATTTTTTCTAGGTATAGTTTTAGTATAGTTAAACAATATTCACCGCTAAAATGTTTCTACTTTTAAAAATTTCGGGGGGGGGGGGGTCCGGACCCCTGGATCCCCCACCAGTTACGGCCTTGATCATAATACATGTATGAATTGAGACCATTACTCATTCACCACTCATATTATTCTTAAATGGAATAGAGTGTAACAATATCACATTCTCATTATAAGTATGTGTTGTTATTTATTATTGATTTCATTAATTATATAGATAACTAGAATTCAATTCAAGAAATTGGTGAGTGAACAATTTGCTCAGATTGTTACTTTACACATAGGTGAGGCTTATGCTATGCAAAACATTACAAAAACTGATAGACTTGGACTGCTTATGTCCGGAAAAGCAAATGTTCTCCAAGATCATCAACTTTTGCATCCCATAGGACCATGTGAGTTTTTGGATTCTCCTGAATTTGAAAGCAGAGGGTCTTCCGAAGACAAATTTAAGGTGGATTTTATCTGTCTTTCAAAAATATGATTTATTATTAATATTAACTTCTTCCAGGTTTCAGTAATTGCTGCAACAACTTGTCGATATATATTTTGGCAAAGATCAGCATTAGAATATTTGTTTGTGAAAGAAACATACTTAGGCACTGTATTAGCTACTTTAGTTGCAAAAGATATAACCATTAAACTTTACTCTATGAACAATAAAGTAGAACAATTAATTTTTGCAACTAAAACTGTTAAATTAATTTTATTTTTCATTTTTAGATTATGACAGATAAAGGATCACATTTAGATATCAGGTTACCAAGTATTACTCCAGCCTTAGCATCAAAAGAATGTAAGCCACCAATTGTGAAAACATTAAAAAAACTAGCGGTGATTTCATCACATTGTCCTATAACATCTATACCAGCTGGTAAATGTATTTCATAAATTTTTAATTTGTGTTTTTGCATTCAGTTAAATTTATTTACCTACCTTTACCTTGCGATTGTCTAGTTATAGAGCATTTATGACTGTTATCTAAAAGTAAAAATTTAAATATTACTACATTACATGAATGAATTAATTGATTCTTTATTTACCTACTATAGTGACAAAAGACACTTTGTTGTAGTACAAACAATTTGTCAGGACAGTGAAAAACATTTATACCAAAGTTTGTATTCTGTATACTTTTATTTCATTTATGCCGCCCTGTTAGTTAAATTCTTGAGTATTTAAATTTTTTTTTGCATTCTATAATAGACATTTTATATGTAGATACTAGAAATCTAAACAAATTAATTATATAATATATGTTTATAGCTTTAATTTCAGAAGTAAAATGATAATAATAAGTAGGTATGAGGTACCTACTTATATTGATCTACAACTCATAGGTACCTAACTCTTAAGTTATAAACAAATAATTGTGATATTAAAATAGTCTAATAAAATATAATTTAATAATATTTATTGTACGTAATATAATGATGTTCACTATTTGTTATATTTTAGTCGAATATGTATGTGATAAATGTTAATTTATTTGATGGCTTTGAATATTAATTACACATAATATGATAATTAATTTGAATACCGCTGTGTATTGGCTATATCTAACTTTATTACTGTAAACTTAATCATAGATCATCTGTTACTAAAATAATAATTCTAACCAGTAGACATATTATATTATAAATATTAAATGTAGAGTTACAGATTACAAAAAATATTAAATTAGTAAAATAGCCATCATGTACTTAGGTATGTATATTACAGCTTTATAATTACACGTTTGGGGGATCAATGTTTGATCGTTGACTGCCATAAGGTTAGGCTAAGTCGAGTCGAGGACGCCAGAAGTAGGTGCAGTTGCACCCCCTAAATCTTCAAGAAAAAAAATGTGTATTGAAAATATTTTATTTTGCATAATTATTAATTTTCTATTATAAATTATAATACTTATTTTTTAAATAATAACTGCAAACGTCTAGGTTTTTTTCGAAATTCTTCAACTGAATTTTCAGTGAATTTGGTAACCTCTTCTAATCTCTTTCTATGTACACTCATTATACATAATCAGGACAATCGGTCATCACCCATACTGACTCTGTTCCAGGTCTTCACACTTTTCAAAGTACTAATAATGAACGACAAACGTTCAATACTGCAGGTTGTTATTGAAAGAGTTGCTCTGACATTGATTGAGTCGGCCACAGCCAGATAAAAATCTTTTGGCATTTCGATTAAATCTCAGTATTCAATAGAATGTAATGGTTTTGTATCATTTTTCCACATTTCATACCACGTTGTGGCTTTAGTTATAAAATGTGATGACAAAATGTTTCCATTTAGTTTTACAATATCATTTGATATGCAAATAAACTGTTCTTTACTCATGTTTTTCATAGCATAGGGCATGACAAATTAATTAATTAATTTAATTTGTCATGGCATAGGGAAGAAGATCCATTAGAGAAAATGATTGATTGTGAGTTCTGAATCTAGATAAGGAACGAAAATTGATATCCTGAAAAACAATTCATGGCTTGTAGACGGATGATTCAATCTTTGAATCTGTCGTGCAGCTACTCGAGGGGGACGTATTTCAACATCAAGTTCTTCGGTGACAAACGTCTAATTATGATTCAGATTATATCGTATGGTGTCAATATAGAGGATATGTCAGTTGTCACAAGTATATTCAGTGTATAGTGTATACATCGGTCACGGTTACGCATGCAATACCTAAGCTTTCGAGTTGTCGATCATTATCGGATTTTTCAGACAAAATTCGTGGCGGCGCCTATGAGCCGAGTTAAAATTAAAATAATATTTGGATTAGCTAGAAGGCATAAATAAAAACTGATATATTTTTAAAAATATTTGGTATTTTTTTATCATGTTAGTGCAATTTATTTAGTAAATGGGTACGAATATAAACTAAAAATAATTATAGTAAAAACATTGTAATAATACCATACTCCCCGCAAAAACCTATTAATTGTAAACATTTTTATTTTTCTAAAATAATACTTGTTATATACTTGAGTGATAAACATATGAATAATATATTTAAGCTTATTTTATAATAAAAAATAATTCATATTAGGTTCCTACTGCAGCTGACGTTATAGCAGCTTGGCTGGCTGCCTTCTTGTGTGAGATTCCTACCTCCTACCTAAAAGTAAAACAAGATTTTATTAGTTTATCAGTTATTTCCAAATTCCTAGCCTGTGGATGTAGATGATAATATAAAATATTTTGTTTTTACCTATATTGATTCCTGCAAGTGTATGTTGTGTGTTTATTGAGTATTTATTTTGCAATTTTAATAAATTGTAAACTTTGGTGTTATGTTGTATTTTGCATGTATAAGTGTATTTTGCATCTGACTATCTATATTAAATTTGTTCAATATATATGTTTTGATGTATTGTGTTTTGAATACTTTGAGTACAGTAAGCTACCGATCTGACTGGTTTGTTCAGGACGGCGACGAGGTTTGGTTATCTTCAAACGATTAATTTTATAGATAATTGCATCTATTCTTCATAGGTACATTATTTTAGACTGACCCAATGAGGGTTTAAATATGTGTATAACATTTTATGGGAGATTGTAAACTCGGCCCGAGGAAAAAACATTTTCAAAAGGTCGATGGTAAACTCGGCCCAGGTTTTTTTCAGGTCAATATTATTTAGATGTAAACTCGGCCCGGGTTTTTTTTCAGGTAAAAATTATTTAGATGTAAAAACCATGATTTTTCTTATAATATTTTTGAGAAACATTTAGCATTACCCAGAGGACACTACGAGGAGGCGGTTCTCATTATCCTCCAAAAATTATTTTCATTTTTATATTATTATTCATAGTACGAAATTCATTATTTAAATGAAAAATGTAATTAAAATGTTATGATATTAAATAATAATAAATGTATTCATATAAATGTATAAGTGTGAAAATGTGTAAAAATATAGTAAAAAATAAATAAGTAAAATTGTAGTGTAAATAATGAGTGAAAAATTGTAGTATAATAATATATAAATCTAGTTTTTTTAAGTAAAAAGCCATGTATTTTACATATTCACTCACTGATATATCTTTATTTTTATATTTTGTAAGTGTTCTTTCTAAGAGTTCTTTTTTTTTTTTAGTTTTTATATTTCGGAATTTAAATGGTGCATCTAGGCTGTTGATTTTAATGTACGTTTCTGTTTGTTCTTCTTTTAATTTTGAAATGACGGAATATATATTGGGGTGAGTGGAATTAAAACTTGAATTAAAATGCGCATGAAATGATTCACATGCATTATTTGTTGTTAAATACGTTTCAACTGATGCACTGGCCCACATTTCAGGCGGAAACATAGAAACTTCTCCTATGTATGTTTTCGGGCCGAATTTACAATCGATTTATTTTACTACCTGAAATTTCCGGGCCGAGTTTACAATCTACCTATTTTTATTACCTAAAATTCTCGGGCAGAGTTTACAACAAAAAATGTAACTTCGGGCCCAGTTTTACATTTGCCCCATTTTATATCATGATCTATGTACATTGTACATACATTTATGATTTTATATTCGACATATTTCAATCTTCAGAATAGGATATTATGATCTATTCGGTAATCGCCTCATTGCCGTTCTGCTATTCACTATATTTTTGTATAAAAAAAAATGAAATAATATAAAAGCATTTATATTTTGTTTGGTACATCGTACATCTAATCAGAGAATATCATATACAATACAACTTCATATGTCACATGTAAAGTTGGAAATATTATAAAACTATATTTGTTACAATAATTAGTTAGATGCCTACCTTATTTTTATTAGACCTAATTTAATTACGAATACAAACATTACATTAACAATTTGAAGTTAATAACAATATGTTGTATCTATAATAATAACATGTACCAATATTTTTTTCATTTTTATAACCGTTTTAAATTATTTTATTAAAAAAAAAATTACAGGACTTTTATGATGTTCAATTTAACGAAGAAAAAATAATGAAAACAATTTTTTTAAATAATGTTTTCGTAAAACTAATGATACATGAAATACCTAGTGTAGTAAATTATATTATTTTTAATACATTAGTTGATAAATCACTAATCAGTAAGTAAATAATAAAAAACAAATATTTTTAAATATTTATTAGTTTACATATTTTTAATACAAATAAATTACTTTAGCTAACTAGGCATTTTGATTAATACAAATAGAAATTGTTAGGCTTGGTTTTATTTATTTTTACCAGTGAAAATCACCAAGTGCGATACATTGATTATGGATAAATGCCAAACGACCAACGGAAAATTCAATCGCATGAACTTGGCCAATGAAATGGGTAACACGGGAGTGGAAAATTGGCTAGAAAAAACTTCAAAATATCATAGTTTGGAAATGGCAGATGACGAATAAATGATAATTCAATCATTAGCTATTTTTTATATAATTTATTTTTTGTTATCATAAACAAATGTTTACTTTAAAAATATACTTTTATTATTTTCAATTGTATTTTATTCATTCCTGAGTTGGTATAACTATGTTCGTATAGGTATGAAATTTCACTGTAATACAAAATAGGTATGCGTAAATTTCTCTTGAAAATTATATCAGTATTATAGAAACAGATGTGTGATAAATATATTTTAAGAACCTTCTTAGCACCTTCTCACATATATAATATAGATTTTAAGGTTCTATATATAATGTTTTTAGAGCCTAAAACTAAATTATTATATTTAACCATACATATTTATCTTGTATTCTTAACATTTTATTGCTTATTTTAGACTTGAGATAAATGGTAATAGCCTAAAAAAAATCTTCGGTACTCTATTGAGTAGGTAGGTATATCGTATATAATAGGTGCATCTTAATATCTTATCTATTATACGGTCTTATAATATTGTGGTATTGCATTGATATGAATATATGATATACCTATGTAATATATTTATCGGAAGAACAAACATAATATATTATTATTTATATTTATGTCAGTTATGATTCATTACTATTAGTGAATGATGATAAGTGATAACTATGAACTACCACAAAGTTATCTACTTGCGGCCGGTTATTCAGCGAATTTTTATAATGCTCATCAATCAATGTCAGCGCATTTAATAAAAACATAAATATTTTGTTTTTGCTGCAATTGCTAAAAAAATATAATGATATACTCTTTGTTTGATACGTTCGAAGAAAAGTAAATAAATCTTTTCAATGCTCAATTTACAAATTGTATGGTACAATACATGTTACTATATTATACTATATTACTATGGACCTTTTATCATTAGCGCACTCAAAGTTAAATAACTCAAAAACTAATCGTGTGAATTTTGATTTTGATAGGTCAAACATTTCAGAAAAATGATCTACTGTATAATTTATAGTTTAATAGGGGTGTTCTAATTCATTTGGAAAAAAAAAGTTTGTATCCCCGTAGGACACTCCTTAAATATTATAAAAATTCTCAAGAAAATATGGTCTAAAAATATATTTAAAAATTAAAAAAACTCAGTTTTTTAATAACTGCATTAATGCATCCCTGAAGAAAAATAGGGGGTGAGCATGATTGGTGAATCAATCTGTATATTACTATTAACTATTAGTTATAACTTAAAATTTCTTTCCAAGTGTATATTCAATGATGTTAATTTATAACCCAATTATATTGTAAATAGGGGGTCTGGTACCATACATTTGGTAATGTCATGATAATATTTGTCGAAATTGTTGGTAATAAATAATAAATAACTTATACACTATTTTCATTCATTTCTAATGTAATATTATATCGTAGTACAATATATTGTTACTAGTACATATTACCTAGGTAAATAAATTGGAAGTGATACTAATTGTAATAACTGATAATGTAATATAATACTGTTTTAATCCTTTTTATTATATTTTTTGAAACGGCTTAATTATTATTATTATTTTTATTTTATTTTTATTTTATTTTAGAACTTTCAGCTATAGCCTATAGCTATTAAAGTTCGACAATTACGAAAGTATACTATAAAATTAGAATTAAATTGACATGATAAAGATAATTATGATTAATACCATGACTGAATTATTTCAATCATGATTAATACAAATAATGATATAGGGTATAACATGATATCGTAACAAAATTATGATTAAAATAACATAATAATAAAATATTTAGTATCAACAATTACAGTTTAGATATATACGATTTTGCCAAGACACGCAATTAAGGAGATAGGGTATTTTTAGAAAGCTATGTGTTCAATAGAGAAGATAAAAGAGAAATTAATGGAGTGATGAGGGAATTAAATTGCGTAATAAATTGGGATAAAATATTGGAGATAGGTTCAGAGTTTAAATTATTTGGCTTAATTATTAATACACTTTTTTCAAACGTATTTATTTTAGACCATGCTTTTTACCTTGCATTTTTTTCTTGGATCTTTTTTCCTTTGACTTTTTATTCTAATATAGGTAACTTGGAAATCAGCGGGGACTCTGCGAATGACGACACTTGAAACGCTGCTGCAGGTATATGTATTTCTAATGAGTGCAACAAGTTTTACGATTGTTGGGTACTTATTCATAGTTGTAGAAACAAAACGTTGTCCGTGGATAGGCACTCGGTGTCATTAGAAATGTCCTTATAATGATGATCCCCTCGTTGGGTTTATTTCGGGCACATAAAATGTCGCTGCCCATAAACACTTCACAGTCTCAGAAAAAATAATATAATAGTTTTTTTACTTATATAAGAATTGTAATTACTGCTATTCGTTATTACTTATTTCTAAACTTTCTAGTTTATTATTATTTATTGTTTTTTTTGTTTGTTAAATTAAATGCATGGCTATTGAAGACGGAAACCTTAGGTGTACAGTATAAAATATAAATTTATAATCTCGTGGATAGAGAAAATGCAAATGAGATCAGACGATAGTAAAAAAACTATCAAATGCCAACACTAATATAATATCAAAACCTATTTGCAACGTGCATGTAAATGTATATAACTCAAGTTAACTAGCTGAAATCTGTCTGCAATTTTTTACACAAATTGAGAAAAATAGATCATTTTGACAGTTTAAAGACGGGATATCAATACACCTACGACCAATCTACTTTAATTAAAAATTAATATTAATAACTAATAAGACGTTTTGATGATGGGGCGATTAAAAAAACTGGAAGGTTATTATTTTATTAACATCGTTTACCTATACCATTTTACTTATATTATTATCAGGGTTTTGCACCTGAATCATTTATTTGGGTTTCGGATATTATAGCAGATGTATTCGGGTATTCAAACACCGGAATAAAAAAAGTATACACACGTTTGGGCGATAATAACCGTTATTATTTCGGTTGATAATGGTTAATACGAGTTTTTATTGTAAGCTGAGCCCTTTAAGTATAGTTGTCTTGAGTAGGTACAGGTATCAATATTTACTATAGATCATTGCTGATTTAAGTGTATTTGCTTCATCACAATATTATTTATTAATTTATGATTTGGTATACATTTTCTTTTAATATTTTTCAAGTTTAGATATTTAAATAATTGATAAAAGGTAATTAATAGTTATTCTATAATCTATACCATTCTCACTAAGAATTGTTTCAATATTAGATCGTCATGTAACTTGTTTGACGACCACATAAACAAAATATTCTTATTTCTACGCCAAATAGATCTGTAATAACTCAGAATTATTTTTGAAATAATTATTGTGAAAAAGCTTTAGACAACTTAAACTTCGGACTCAGTAATATACAGCTTAACATTTTAGTAAAAGAAAAGTGGTCTGCTACAATTTTTATAGATATTACAAAAAACTAAAGGAGCTTTAGCTCCTTTTCCGCTCCTTTAGTCCTTCCCTCACTGCATGCGCATGTGAATAAGTGATGGGATATTAATATATTATATGTTCTTCGATTAAAAGTTACCACCCGACGAGGTCTAACATTTTGAGGCTCTATAGTCTATATCGTTAGTTCGTTTTAATATCAGTGATGTACTGCACCATTTTAGGTACGCGCGTATACACATAAAAAATAATGACATCAATTTATACCGACAAACGTCATATTGTATTATAATAATAATACACAGCGCCCAGTAGAGTTGCGTGACGTCACTGTGAAGTCATAATCAGCCAGTCGGCCGTCTGCTTGGTGCGCGCGTCGGTCCGGGCCCGCCGGGAAAATCGATGCGATCTGACGTGATATCGTAGGTATATATGTACGGAAAACACGACATAAACATGGTGGCGCATACGAGTGGACTGTAATTGTGTACATATACATATAGATTGGTAGTACTGTTATTATGGTATAAGGTAAACATCATAGGTTTTTAGAATATTATGTAAAAAAACAACCGGCACACATGATTTTGGATTAACTTTGGCAAAAAAAGACTCACAATAATCGATTATTAATTTTTTTTTTGGAGATGATGCCCCACGTGTTTTTGAAAAACGGCAACCACGGTCGTTCTGGTTCATAATCATTTCTAGACCTAATATGCTGACAATATTTACCACATCGGCATTTGAAGTTTATTGTTTCGTGAAAAATATTGTTTATTATTTATTTCGTGTACACATTTTATTCTTTTACGCATGTATTGTAAAAAGCGAAGATGGTGGTATTAAGACATTTTCTAAAAAAGGGAACAAAAAACGACCGAACAATGTCTGGACAACATGACACACGATGGTCAAAAAAGACACAATAACGTCTTAAACGGGATACCTAATATGAATTGTAGTGGATACGGGTAAAAAAAGTCTGTTCAAAAGGACAGAATACAACTTTTTTTTAAAAAATTAACTATTTATGAAGTATATCAAAGAAAAAATTAAATAGATCAAAACTGATTTTATATTTATATTGATATTGCCTACTGGTAATAACTTCAGCTTATTTCATTTCCTAATACCTACAACGTCAACATCTAATAGTGGTATCAAAATATTATTCATAATTCTTGAAAAATAGTTAATTTTTCCAAAAACACTCTAAGAAAATACATACTTTTCTAATCATTAAACTGAACATGATTGTATTTGGAAAAAAATCGAAAGTGATTATCAATAGGAGTAATCACATAAACGGTTTTCTATTTTATTTTATCTATATCGATAGGTACTACTCAATAAATAAGTGATCAACCAATCTCAAATATATTTTGTTCGGACTTTTTTCGCCGGACTTTTTCACCCAAAGGTCGTTAGTACCGCATTATAGCCTGTAGCGTGCGTATTATCGCAGCGGGTGCCGCCTTGCCCGCACAGCCGCCGAACCCGAACGCTGCCGAATAATATTATCACGCCGTCGACGGTGGCGACGTCACGGGCGGACAGTGTTTCGCACAACGCTGCACAGCACTCACCACCGCCGTCAGCGTTTCCCAACGACATTTGGATCCACAGCTTTCGGTCTCTTGGTGACGGAATTATTGTTATTGAATTGTACATCTACCTGCCGCGCATGTCGTCCGAGATCAATTGCCATCAGCGTTTCGAACGCGTATGTCTGTTTTTGCGCCCGACTTGCGGTCGTGTACGATATGACAAAACGCGATAACTTCCATCGACGACGCCGACGAGACGACGAAGACTTCGCGGCCTTCACTTCCCTGGCAATAAGTGAGTGACACAGAATATTATTTGCTTGTTGTACGGCAGAGATATATTAAGTCCAGCTATAATTAAGTTGTAAATATGCGGATTATTGATTTAAAGCGTGTGATGGTAGGTATATTATTATTATTTATTTATTTCAAAATCAATGGTGAGTTTAATTTATTTATAGTGTAATCAGTAATAATGTATCAAAATTGCATAACCATTGCGCCGCGTTATATTATACGATATAATATAATATTTCCATAAGTTATTTTTCTATAGTTAGACAAATCGTAATATTATAGTTAATAATTATTTATTATAATGTTATTAACTATAAAGTCTATTCATATATTATAATTATTATTTATTACTCTGTTGTCAAAAATATGTTGATAACAGAGTTTATTGAATTGTATTCTTATCATATTATTCCACAGAAATATAATGTGTTACAATAATGTAAATCTGTACATTTTAAATAAATTATTTCTTTACTGTGTTGGCTTTAAAAAAACAGTCGAACAAAACTTTGACCTTATTGCTGTTGCTTTATTCTATTGTATATTCGTGTATAGCCACGATTCCGATACTATACTTTGCGTGAGAATTCGTAATTGACTAAAGCAGACACGCGCAGTTAAGAAATATTTTAGAAAAATGTATGAATTAACGTTCCATTAAATTTACTTGAATTAGTATAAAAGTACCTAAGCATTCCTTTTTTTGAAAATTATAGTTTACTATATATACTTTAGCAAAAATAGTTTCAATATGTAATATTATTACGAGTGAATTCGTTTAGACTTAAGAGGTTTTACCTAACTAATTTTAAGATATTATATAATATGAGGGAGGGTGGATGTAGTATACCCGATCCATATTCGATCGGTGGCATAGATTTTTAAAAACTAAGTATAGAAAGTATGCGGTGAAGGAAGATTATTTACATAAGACTCGTTTTTTCAACCGACATTTGTTTCTTAAAATAAGTGCTAAATGTACTATACTGCAGTTTTCTAATATACATAAATTCTTTCTAAATCAAACATTGTTTTAAAAAAATCAATGCATTTGAGAAAAATGTGTTTTATACTGACATACTGACCTAATGGCTAGTCGTATAGGTACATAATTATGCAACTGCAGAAACCAACCGATACCGAACTTCGCATTTTATTCTTAATAACGACCTAAATAAGAGCGTCGTAAAAAACCTGACCTTTTTAAAATGTCGACAAAACCCAAGATAAATAATTCCTTTCCGATGTGTTTTCATAACAGCTACTTTGGTCACAAAAATAATCTATACATATAAAATCCAAATACCACTTAGTCACTGAGTCGCTATAACTCAAAAACTACGCAACGTACGAACTTGAAATTTGGAATAGAGGTTCTTCTCATATTTTCACCGTGCACTAATACAGGATTTTCAAAAATGGTGCGTTTTGGTGGAGTAATTAACAATTATAATTATTCATCGCCAATACGTATTGTTCTGCACGGCAAGGGTTCATGGCGGCCCGCGGGTTTCCAGCTACCTGCAACTTATCCTTTTTGTCCATCATGAAGATAAGAATTGTTCCGAGAAGTTATAGCAGGGATATATTGTAAATATGAATAAAACAAAATTACATTCAGGCGTAGCCATTTAATTCAGCTAGTTGTTTAATATGAATAAAAAAGGTACACTATAAATTATTATTATCAGCATATAATGGTTCGAAATCAATTCTAATGATATGTTTTTAATTTAGAGGTAGGTACAATAAACACTAACATTTCATAATCATTCAATGCACCACACCTAACTATAAAAGTAGTAAAATTATTTTACATTTTCTGTTAACTGTCACCTATCACGATATTTTCAAATAATATGCCAATGAAATTTATCATAATTTTAACTATCTGATATGCATGCCTTTATAATCATGATAACTTTGTTCAGTGTCTTATTTTAACTAACTAGACATTAATTTACGTTTATTAAAATCTATTTTGATACATAATATAATAATGTGTAAGCAGTACAAGCACGGAGGCAGGAGGAGAACTTATTAATTTTTTTACAACACAAATACAATATATACATTGATTAATCAATGGTAGTATTCAGTAATTGGCACACACATATTTCAGAAAAATCATGTTTTTTCAAAAAAATTAAATTATAGAAATTATATAAACCAATTGAAGAAATGATTTCTTTGGGGTTAAAGGGAGGGGGTATAACTCTCACCTCCAATCCGGCTAGAAGAATTAGGTATACAATAATAATTACTTGTATCAATTATCCACCGAATTATTATATATTCATTTAGTAATATGATGTATTTATTAGTTTTGTATTGTATTGTTGTTTTTAGGAAAATTAAAAATGTTTCAGTCGTTAACTGTGAGGACTTGGGGGGTGGTTTCTGGTAAAAAATTATGTCTAGGAGTTACAAAAAAAAAAAAAATGTACAAGTATAGGTCAATCAACATAATCGGTGAAAATAAAAAAAATAACGGAAAATGGTTATTTTTACTCAACATCAGTTTTCATCGACATCGATTATGCTATAATTCAAATATGAATAATTTCATAAGCTTAAATTAAAAATAAATTATATTTATACTTGCACTATCTGTCTCAACGGCGTTTCTTCTAATAATAATAGTAATATAATATGTAACATGCAATGCCAATTATTTAGAAAAACTTCTTTTCTCCAATAGGAATTGAAAAAATATGCTATAAGCCTATAAGCACCCTCCATTCCTCCAAGTCTCAAGGAATCTGAGGGAATTGAAAACGGTTGAGTAGTTTTTGAGTCTACTAACTTTGGATGAACCAACCCGATACCTGTACGGCTGTACAGGCTGTACAATCCAACTTCGTAAAAACATGAAAAATTATAAAATATGTAGGTTATACAGTAGAAATCGTTTATAATGATGCTGAAGGGATGAAAGAAAATTTGTCGTAGTAACCAATAGTCATAACTATCAATAAAACTTAACTATGTTATGTATGCATTTTTTCAGATCCTTTACCTTAAGGTCATAAAATCAAATATGTCACTACAAATGGTGTCATTTTAAACCATTTTTTTGTACATACATAGGTTTTGGTGTATCCTAATTCACTGGAAAAAATCGATTGGATAACATCGCTTTGTAAACTATAGCTTATTCGACCGAGATGGACAATTCGCGTGTGGTAGATCTGATATTCAGATGTAGCATTTGGTATATAATCTAACGTGGTTCAAATCATTCTACACTTTCCTGATATCTCTAAAAACAATTTGAAGATCAAATTAAGATCTTATTTGAAATCCTCACAAAATCGGTTAACTTACTCAAGAAGGTACTTCTATAAGCTACAAACACACATTCAACTCTCAAATTATTTGTTCAAAGACATAATTTCCGTGCTTGAAACTATAAATGCGACAATTTGATGCAACAATTTATATCAAAAAAAAGTATTAATTTTATCCTATTATTATTATAACCATTTAGCTGTATACTAATAGAAACTATTAACAAAAAAATGTCCATCTTAAATCTCAAAATCCTAGATTGACCACCTCTCCGAGTAGGACATACTTGGTCCAATTGAGAATCCAAACCACTAAGTGACCCACTTTAACACACACAAAAGTTTCATTATAATCGTTTCTAGGCAGAGTTTAATGTCGTACAGACGTAGGTAGAGTATAATTATGTTTATAAAATATTTTCAGACTGTATTTTAAATTTTCAAATATTTTGGTTGTTTTAGTGCTTTTATAAATATTTAATGTTTTTCATTCTATTAATGTATGATACTTTTTTTTTTTGAAAATTGAATTCAAGGTTACATATAAGTTATTCTTACAAACTTCAGTACTTAAAAATATCAAAAAATACAGTCACTCTTTTTTAAAAGCGTTTACATTTTACAAAACACTATGAATTTTAATAATATAATCAATATATAATCAATAGGCGTTTACACATTTATTTTTTGTATTTTTTATGTGTAGAGATGATCTTTTCACTTAAAGCATATAAGTTGTTGAGGGTATTTTAACGCAAGCAATTATCATTAAAACTTATTTTACTCGTGTCTGCATTGCAGTGTATAATCAAAAATAAGAGTTTTATACTTTTATAGGATAAAAACACTGTAATTTGTCTAATAACAAGCGATAGCTACATTGCCATCAAAATGAGAATTATAATAACATTCTTTTCTTTTTAACTATTTTAAGTGATCTTGATTAGATGCACGAAACGTAATTGGGGAAAATGTGGACAAATTGTGTGAATAGGTATAAATCCACGGTTAATAGTCATTAATTTGTTATATGTATTAATGTATTATATTTTAAATACAGTGTAGCCAATATGTTTTAAATAAGCTAAAATATAGTATTTTTATTTTAGGAAAGACAAAGCCTACGAGCCTGTATTAAATAACTTTTCACTTGGAACGCTGTTTCAAATCGTTGAATTGAGGTGCTCAACCTCTACTGATTTTTTCTCAATTCGAGTACTGTATGTATGTAAGGTACCTACTACCTATGCAGTAACTAGTAAATAGTAATAACTAATAACTATACAAAAACATACAAAATTTACAATTAATATTATAACATATACGCAGCTACCCCTTCTATTAATGTATTTATTTCTTAAGGTTTAGGTTAGATATGCCGACCTTATAATATTATAAATAATACACAATATTTAACAATACGCGTTAAATTACCATACTGTTTACCTGTATATACCTATATAATATACCTAAATCTATATAATGTATAATATACTGTTCGAAAATTCACTAGAGCGTTTTTAATGAATTGTCCAAATGTATTATAGTTACAGATAATATCGGTCATCAGCTTTTCATCTCAACGTTTGATAATAAAGTCTTATCTACTACTAACAAAACAACAATTTTATTTTGCAGATTTTTAAATAAAATATTTTTTTTCTTTAGAAATTGCGACGGACACACCTGCAGCGGAAATAGGGGCTGTACTGCTTCAGGCTATACCGAAACAAGCTCGGAGTGTGGACTTGGAGAATACCGGATAGTACGTTATATAGGATTTCATAATATCGTACAATACATCGAATATTACAACAACTACGTCACAGAGCTTTGAGCAAGTGCCGCGGCAGCTGCAGCAGGACGTCCGGTCGGCCACTCGGTGATGGGGCATCTCAATCACACCGTCGAGTCGGCAAACAAAGCGTTCGCACCACCACCTTCTGCATCGCAGCCTCATCGTTTGTCATCGGCCATCACAACTTTGGGGTACGTGATCGGCACCACCGCTACGACCGGCCGCGACCTGCATAACGCCAACAGCAGCAATAGCAACGACCGCGGTGCTGGAAATTGCACCGGCGCAACGTCAACAATCGCACCGGTGACGGCCGCAATGCAGAACGGAACGGCTGTGCCGGACCGGTTGGCCAGCGACTACTATTACTATTACGCGTACGACAACACTACCGAGACCGCCCTATTCTATCCGCTCAATGGTTCTGCGGCTGGCGGGCGGACGGGGCCGTTTAAATCCAACTGCCAGTGGATACCCGCCCAGCAGAGCCTTTTCCAGTTCTCCAACATTTGTTTCCTGACCGCTTTCATAGTTCCTAGGAGTTACAAGTTCAGCGTGTTGTCACTGAGGTAATTATCGTTACAGATCCGTGTGCTACTTGCATATAATGTTTAATGTACTCATAGTATACCCACTACATTCCCTAATATTCCCTCATAAAAGTCCGGTATAAAACTCCCAGCGTCACAGTGTCAAATCAATATTATAACATTTAAATCAGATTTTCTTCAACTGCAACGTAAAGTAAAAGTTCTGGTTTAATGGTATGTCAAATAATACATTATTTTTATTTTAGTAATAGGTACCAAGATGTTTTTTATCTAATTTTTTTAAAAAATATAAAAATTGAGTAGAGCTTCATCAAATAGTTATTTGTATTATACAGAGTAGGTAAGTGTTTGATGATATTCGTTAAAATAATAGTTAAAAATTATACGTTATCAAAATTCTAAGGCAGATCGATCGCATTCGTTCAAATTAATATCGCCGAATAGTAAGGTTTTAGACCCTGAGTGAAAAAGCGATGATTTTTTTGGTTTTATAATGATGTTTTTTTTTGTTTATATAACGATTTATAGTAGCTAGTCAAAATATATTGATTTTAAACTTGTTAGAATACTTAATTTTTCGTTAATTACTTAGTAAAATAGGCTGACAAACCGATCTGAATCGTTTTTTGCATACAATAATTTATCATTGAATTAAAGTTTAACATTTACATTACAAAAACTTACTCAATGATCAGGTAAACTCGAAACCTACTATAAAGCAATGTACATCCCTTTTAAAAAAAATGTATGCTTATAAATCGAAAATTTCTTTTGTAGATTTGTAGGTATACTTTAAGGTAACTTGTGTACTTTTGGAACCTATACCTACTACATATAGGTATAATATAATTTATACTATATTATCTTATCATATGATGATAGATATATGGTTTTTTATTTTTACAATACCCAGATTTTGCATTTTGTAATTATAACTAAGTCTAAGCCTAAAACTTCAACAGATGAATAATGAATACTTACGTATCTGAAAGTATCGCGTCAAATGCTGAATTAGATGAGATAGTGTAGTAGTTTATACTCGATGCGTTATGTTACAGTATTCTTTAGACTTTTGTATTATTAATGGTGTCATACATATAATTGAAATGTGTATGCGGATTTCAGATAAATCAACCAACACACTGAGTTTCGAATAAATATCTATTTTAGACCAAGTCGGTACTCTGCGCCATCAGTTATTAATTATAATACGCGGGTATAGGAAACACATCTTTGATAATTAGAATTTGCATCAGTAATATATTATATTATTACTCGCAGATGTAATTGTCAAAGTAGGTACGTCTTAACTTTTTTTTAAAAATAACTGTAAGTAGATTTTAGGAACTTCTAAATGTTTTATTTAACTGAAAAATATTTATACTTTGGATCTTTTGATACTGTTTCAAAACAGTTCTTAAATATTTTACCTCAATTTGAATTATATAGTATATAATTTTCGAACCATCTACGAAAATATGGTTGTTCAATAAGTACGTAAGTCTTTTATACATTTATGGACTTAATTTTTCGGTTCTTAAAAGTTGGAACAATACCAATTGGCAATTAGTCTTTTACTTTAAGTTTCATAATTATACATACAATTATGTATTATAGCTGTCATAATTCATGTTTACATAATATTTAGTTTTGAAACATTTTAGTTGCGACTGTGAGCAATTACATTATAAGCTACATATACCTACTCTAAAGTCTACACTAGTTTCTAAATTAATATAACAATCCTCTGTAGCAATTTGTTAAAACGAAAAGTTTTAATGGTTACAATTTTAGTTTTTAAACCAATCAAAAGGACCAAGAATAAATCAAATAATTTTGGATATCTACTGATTAACATGTTAGAGTTAATCTATTCTCCTCCATATGTATGTAGATAGTAGATACCATAATATGCGAAACGCGGTATAAAGATGTTTAATTTATTTGAAAAACTAAAAACTAACGATTCATTAGATTCTTAGTTTTTATTTAAACATATAATTATAAATTATAAAATTATATTTATATTATGATATCTTAAAAAAGTACAATATTTAATATTATAGGTACCTATGTCATTACACTGTTATATAATATTACACCATTTGCATTATATCGTCAATTTAAATCATACTTATTAAAAATATAACTTTTTCGTGAAATAAAAATCCAATCAAATATAATTGAACATTTTTGTGTAATAGGACTATACATATTATTGATGTACCTAGTCTAAATGGCAATAGGCTTAATACGCCTAAAACGCATGACAAGCAAAACAATAAAAAGTATATTCACCTTAAGTCTATGTCGAACAGGGCGTTGCTGTTCTTAGGGTTTCTGATGTCGGGTCTTTGGGCGTCAACGGACGTGTGCGCGGTGGATGCGTTGCTCTGGTACGGATCACTGGCTTTGATAAACGCCGTGCACACGCTTAAACTGTGTAAGAAGCTCATGCCACCCGCGCTATCGGTCGAACTCATGGAATTGTACTTGCGGGTGTTCAAGCCGCTCAAAGTCAGCCAGAAACACTTCCGGGAGCTAACGCGGGAGGCGGCCATCGAGGAATTGTCGCCTGGCGAGTGTTATGCGGTCGAGGCAGTGACGCCTTGTGATCAGCGACTGTCCATTCTACTCAGAGGCAGGTGAGTGATATCGGTATAATTTTGCAGCCATAACATGATTTTATAGGACTCAGTTTGTCAAAATAAACAAAATAACGGTTTCAGTTCTTCAAAACAAAATATAAAGTATTTCTAAATTAGATAAAAACACATACCCATGTTAAACATGACTTAAGAGTTATTAAGTCATTTTTTAAAATAGGACGTTACACCCGTATGCGTTATCTTTGCATAAGTTGTACAAACGCATTTCATAGCAAATTGTACGTTCTGAAGAATCCATTTAACTCTCTTATGTTTAATATTAGAATGAATTGAGTAAAAAAAGAAGTTTAAAATAATATAATATGTTTACAGCTACCTATATAATAATATATTATATACCTACCTAGTATAAAGAATTCTGTGCAAAATAAAATTAACTTTGTGGCTGGGAATAAAAACGAATTACACATATAATTCATTACGATGGGATTAACCTTTCTGTAGGTACACAACATTGAAATTGGTTTTATATGCTTAGGTGTGGTGTTACTTGCGAAGGTACACAGTTGCACAATATCAGTTCGTATCAATTCATTGATTCACCCGAATGGATGGCTTCAGCTCTAATGCACGGAGAAACTATGTTCCAAGTAGGCCCGTTACAATATAGTCTTAATATATTATATATTATTTGTATCCATTTATTGGAATCGTAATACATTTTTAGGTAACGATAACGGCTGCTGAAGATTGTGTTTACTTGTGTTGGCAACTTTCAAAACTCAATCGGATATTTAAACATAGAACTCAATTGCACGCTGTACTTGCTAGTATCATAGGTAAGTCAGTCATTTCTTTAAAATTTGATATAATTTGACAGAGGCCATAGTTCGATCCTTGGACGTCAGGGAGGAAAACCATACAATTTATAATTATCGGTATTTGACTATAACGAACTTTTGGTCACGTGTGCACTGCAGGCAAAGATATAACGCACAAAATGTACTCGCTGAACGAGCAGCTTGGCCAAGCAAAAAGTTTCGACGACCAAACGCGTGCTGCACGCAACGACCATTGGCGGCAAGCGATTTACAGGAGCGTCAGCTTCGACGCCGTTAACACGGGAACTAAAGGAACCGTTAGGTCGAGCGCTTGGAAACGATATAGAGACCGAAAGGCGTCGTTATTCGCGGATCCCGGCGAAAGTAAGTGTGTTATATTATATAGCTATAGATATTAAATACAGTTAGTTCAGTTTTGTAAGGATTTGACATATCCCGTTAAATCCTCTAAACTTCTAAAGGCTAGACTATATACTTATACTTATCAATAATATGCGTACCTACATACAGGGCAGGAGTGCGACCAATCGTAGTCAAATATTATAGTGGCCCAAATTAGACTCCTTCCTTCCCTTCTCTACCACGAGCCCAAATTAATGATAAAAGAGCGGCCCTCGATGTTAAACACTATCGCACATTTCGCTACAATCCAGCCTGCTTACAGTAGGAATAATACTAGATTGTATAAACCTATACTGGCTATACTAAACCTACATTGATTAGCATTCCAGTAGTAATTAACCAAGTGACTCCGCTGATTTGTCACCATATTATATCTCAATCCCTCGGAATCTTTCCATTTTCTTTGGGCGGGATATTGTTACCCACCTCTCTTACACCCCAGGCGTTGCACCCATGTTCAGTGATTTTCAGCGCATACTTCAAACATCATTCTAGGTTTCTTTTTATGAGATGTGAAAACTCTAGATCTAAATTATTAACCAATTACGTATTGTCGAAATTCGAGATTGACCAAAATGGTAAAAAATACATGATAGTAATTAAACGTTATACGTTTCGTGTAGGTCCGGTGCACGGTCCGCGAAGGTGTTGGATACCGGTGTTGACCACGCAACTTTCGGATAGCACCACAGCATACGCCAGCATGGACGGGCAATCGTCTTCGGCCGACGAAGAACGCGAACCAATGCTCCCAGAGGACCACCAGTCGGACGATATACCGCTGTACCGGTTGGGCAGACAGCAGCAGTCAGCCGCCGTGTTGGCGTCGATATCCGCGACTGTGCCGGAAGCAGCCGGCCTGGAGCTCAACGCGGACGCGGCCCAGCGACCAAGGCGCCTCAGCTCGTTGCGACGTCAAAACAGCAGCGCGAGCAACAGGGAAGTGATATTCGACGAGACGGTACTCTAAAATGGCGTACACAAATTGTTATTTTAGGGATCCAGGCTTATTGCATTTGCATATTTTTTCCTGTCTGTCCATTTTACTGCGAAATAATTGCTATACATTTGTTTTATGCTAATAAGAATTTATTCGTGAATTTTTAAATAAGCAGTTTTGGGCATTTATTTTCATAATAATTATATATTATACAGAAATTTTTTGTATTTCACACATTTGTACGGAAAATAATAAATTTATGAACTTATGATTTGTGATAAAAAATAAAATCTAATAACACGGTACACTTCAATCTTGTAGTATTATTACTTCTTAGTGATATTGTAAGAGATTTTCATAATTCATGTGTTTATTTACTCGTACACAAATGTATATCTGCACGGAAACGCTAAAAGCGTCGTATTTTATTTCGAATGAGTAGAAAATAACCATAATGATCAAAGCTGGGCAAGTTAGTATAGTTTTTCAACTTGTTTATTCATAAATAATTTTATATATTAAGATTATTGAGCCTTAATTATTGTTGATGATTTATGACATTAATAAAATTAATTGAATAAGGCGGTGACATACCACTAATATATGAGTCATTTACTAAAATTACCACCACGGCACCTCCGCATAATATGTTAACAATAAATATATTATGATAAGAAATGTAACAATGAACACAAAATACTATAATTTAATTAGTAATTATAAAAAACTATACAATATACATCAATGATTAATTATTATCCAGTATTCTTAGTCTAGACCTGCCATACTCAACCTTTTTTTTTTATTTGGGCCACATCAAATATTTTAAAATATTACGCGGATCACCAGTCGAAATGAACGGAACAGGGATTAAAAAAAAGTGGGCACATTGTTGTATGGTTTTGTATTTTCCTGGCACTAAATTTCAAAATTCGATGTATTCTTTTTGTTCTCGCTTTTCTTTGAAAATAACTTACAAATTTACATATCGAGCTACGGCCAGTTTAGCTATAAGATAAAATACATAAAAATCCTTAAAAAATATAAATAGTGAAAATACCAAAAATATAATCATCCTTATCGCAATCGCGTAGGACACACTTTGATTGTTCTGGTACACCTATTTTATACTTTTATTAGTCTTGACATTTTTTTTATCAATTCAATGAGTTCTGTTAGGGCCACAGGTTGAGTATGGCTGGACTAAACGGTATTCACCTGTGTAATGGAACATTAAGATTTTCGCAGGAAATACAACAGGCAAGTAAAACAAGCGGTCCCCGGCTCATTTTTAAAGCCCACGGATATAGTAACTATAATGATTAATGAACAATTAATTGAAAAAAATAATTATACAATTTTCATATTTTCATTTCGTGTTAACTCGCAACTATGTTAGTGAATTATACAATGTTACTCTTCTGTCTTACATTCTGATAAACTGTAATTGAATAAGTACCTATTGCAATTTGTAAGTAATGAATACAATGTGGAGAAAAATTTTTTTTTCGATAAGTTTGTATGTGCGGCTTAGTAAACTATTAAATATATTTGATTAATACTTTGAATTTTACATGCCTAGAACACAAAACAAACAAGTTACTTTTTGTATTTAACATAATATTTAATCAGACAATTTCTTACATTAAATTATACCCTTTAAGTTAAAAAAAAGTCATCTACTTTTTAACAAAACGTTAACTTTCTAACCAGTTAGTGGTCTAGTGCCCAGCTTTTGACAACAATGGATGGAAAATACATTGAGATTGAGTGCCCAGTGTTCAGTTGTAACTATTATTGGTTTAAAATCATTATCAGGAATGATTTCAATTTGTTTTAATAATTGATTTTATTTTATCACGGTCTATTGTAATATAATATAGGTCCTTAAATAAAGTCATTTCGTTTCAGAATGTAACGTCATCAATGATAATGCCCAAAAGGGGGTGATGGTATATTTAAAGGAAAAATAAACGAAACATTCAATTAAAATTCACGTCTTCATAATTATGTTAAGACATTTTTAGTATAATTTTATATATTTTGCAATATTCCCAAATTAAAAGCATATTCTTGGAAGTATCTAACAGCTTTTCGAGCTTTATTAAGTACATTCGTCATTTTGATTTCATTCGACAGTACCTCTGTTAATTATAACTACAAATATTTATCTTAAAATATATTATATTATATAATGAACCTTTTCATCAGTTCTTGGCTGTACCTTTTACAACAACTGTACATGACGATTGTTGTTTAATAATAATATGAATGTAATTTTATTGTACTTAAATATATTTTATTCATTGTTCTCGAAAGTCTGATAACAATGATTTCTAAGTCTCAACTTAAATTATATGTCTATACATATATATAAATATACAATGTATATAGTTAACATAAAAATAAATTAATAATTAACACCAAAGGATTGACATTACTAAGTAATTATTGTGAACAAATGTATAGTAGGTATACATAGCTTATAATAATACTATGATATTGTGATTTACAAGCAGAGTGCAACAATTTAACTTGGAAATAGGTAGGTACATGTGGTAAATACAAAAAATTATATTGTCCATTTTGTTGCTGTAGTAATTACCCAATATTCCCAATGATTAACATACCGATTTCTTTTTTTTTTTATCAAAAAAGCCAGTTTTTTAGATCACGATCTAGTCAATGGTTTTATTTTAAAGTATTTGAAAGACAAAGTAAATTATGTTCCTAAATACTTATTGAACTCGTCCATTATTAAGAAACCTAATAATATTATAAAATTATTTCCCTTAGTTGATAATATTTTTTATTTTACTAAATGTCTGGCTGTCGTGCAATCTTTGAAACGAATATAAATTGTATACTAAATATCAACGAATTACCAATGAGTCTATACTTAGTAAAAATTTTAAAATTCAGATAAATAAAGTAAAAACGATAACTGTAAAATATTGTTATATTTTGCACAGTGCACACTTAAACCAAATCAATGCATATTATAAAATTGAAAAGATCATTTTTACAATAAATAACTGAACTGTTGATGTGCATATAAAGTTAAAACAAATACTTACCTTTTTTTTATTTTTATTGATGTATACAATGTTGATCAGTAAAATGCAAGACAATCGCAACAAATGGATATTCTTTATGTACAAGTTGTCAGTAGTAATATATTCAATTTTTTTCTTAAATGTTAGCATGTAATACAATATTATATGTATTATATGCAAAATTAAATTTTTGTGATGACTTAAATTTAAAATACTGGAGCTGAGCACTCATAAATTATATTTAAATGTCTTTGATAATGCTTACATATAAAAACAAAGTTTATTGATGTCACTTAATTATTGTTATATAAATCAAAAAAAAACATGTTGTTAAGTGATGTGTTATTTTACCTTGTGTGATTACCATTTATCAAATATATTCAATTAAATCTTTTGGATACGTTTCTTAGATTTTCAAGTGTTGACATGTTGTATTGTTCAAGTGAAATGTCTTAAAAAGTATATACAAATTATTATTTTCCATAAAATGCTCATCACCATAATAAGCAATTATCACAAAATGTGTTAAAAATAAATACTATTTCACATTAAATTGTTGAACTTTAAATATTATAATATATAATAATAGTATGCGTAGATAACCAACATATTTTGTGCAGTCATGTATTATTTTAATATATATATTTATGTTGCTCTATATTAAACAAGATTCTAGAATTAAAAAATACTATTATGAAATATGATATTTTATAGTGTGTTATATTGAGATTCGAGGCTCATCTTTCTATATCTCTGAACATTATTCTATATCGCTACACAACTTAGGCAATCATATTGAGACTATTATTTATAAGCTCAGGTTATAATTAGATAGAAAATAACGACAGTAATATGACGAATGATAATGCTGTATTAATTCTGCTCATAAGCTAAAAGCTTGATATTTTAAAGATAAAAAAAGTGTGGAAGTGTTGTTACTATTAAATAAAAAAAGTTATAAATAAATTACGAGTGCGTGCATTTTTAAATATTATTAAACTATTATATTGGATAACAATTAATAATAAACTATTGAACTTGTATTAATGTGATTATTTTTTTAAAAAGCAGCTTTTTATAAACAAAATGTTTTGTACACACTATTTCCATAGAATTGATGGAAAATAGAAAAATTAAATGTGTTATAATTGTTGAATGTTATTTATAGAATTAATAAAATTATACTTAAAAACAAAAATCAAATTATATTTTGAAAATGCAGTTGTTATTGTTTTCTTTTACCTTAATTTTCCTTATTAATAATTCAATGTACAAGTTTAAGAGGACGTCATATTTGCATATGTATTCTCTGCTTTACACACAACATAGCAATTGTACTCCATTATATTTATTATTTAAGTTGATTGGCTTATCACCAAATGTGCAGATAAGAATATGCTACTCTTGAAGTAGGTTTTTATTGATATATTTTTTTAAAAATAATATTACACTATTTTGGTTATAAAAAACTGTAGTTAACTGTGCTGAGTGGATGACGTATGGGTAATTATTAACATTAGTGTATTTGAGTCTATAGTCGGGGAGTAGGAAAATTTGAATGCCCCTACGTTTACCTGTAAAGCACCAAATAGCATTTTTTGATAGTGGTATCCAAAACATAAAATCAAGATTTTATTTCATTAAATTGTTTATAATATGGGTGTTATTTAATTTTTTATATCATGAAGGCTATCTTAATTTTTATAATAGATTTATTTTATAATGCATGATGATAAAAATTAACATGACAGTAGAGTACTGTTGAGAACCAATGGTCACAACGGTGGGTATGAACAACGATGTTCAGTAGTCAGCGCTCAATGCTCGTGCCCCAGACTAATCTATATCTTATGTTGGCCAGATCAAATGAATGGTTTGCTCTCAATCTGCACACATGTCAATTTTTTTTACTATTATCAAGCCACTTAAAAATACATAAAATTGAAGATTTTAATTTTGTTTCATCAGCAAATTTAAATAAGATTAACAAAGTTGATTCAAGTATCATTTTTTCTACAAAATTAATTAATTAATGTATTTTTTTTTTTATTTAAGTGTTTGGAATATTAAAAATTGTTTGAAATATAAAATTTAGATGAAATGGTTTTATCAAAATCCATCAAACCAAAGTCCTATAATTTTGTTATGCAGTTGGATTTTAAGTTCAAAGAACAAAATATTAAATAGATATTTGAGTAAAAACTGTTATGACAATATCTGAAGTATCAACGACCTTATAATATAATTATTCCATAATGTTTGCATGTAAATATTTAAGTCTAAATCAATAAAGGGAAGAAATTGTTAACCACAAATAATATTAATTGAAAATGATTAAATAACAAAAATAAGATTAATTTAAAAATTGGAAAATTTGTATGTGATACAAAGAAATATCAACAAGTTTTTATTTGACAAATACATACTGATAGGTTACACAAAAAGGATTAACATAATATTATAAACACAAAATATGTGTCATCAGTTTAGTTTACAAGTTACATTTGACACTTTTAAATAATAATCAATGATTGAACTATGCTAAATAATATATCAGGTGAATTTAATATTTTTCTTTCATTCCTTATTAGTACAAATAAATATTCATATTTGATATCTAATAAATTTAAATACAGTTTTACAGAATACCCGAAAAATAAATATATTTAACTAATTAACTGGATGGATGACAAATATGAATGTGAAATACTTTTTTAAACTTTAAGCATAAGTGTGAAGACAACTGTGTGTTTGAAATTAATTAATTTGTTCAGATTTTATATGAAATACAATTATGGGTTTTAGTTAAAATTATTGGTATTTAGAAATATTTTTGCTTAATGACATCAAGAATAATGAAAATACAAGGACAAATTCCATTGGTCTCAACTTTACTTGTATATTGAATGAAAAATATGAAAATAGCATTATGAACAATACAAAATAGCTAAATAAACAACAGAGGTATTATATAATTTTAATGTACTCAACAAGCAATTGAATAACAAACACCCAATTGTCAATACGCCATTCTTGGAGTATAAATATCACTTACATAACACCCCACCCATTGAATAAATAAATAATACTCTTTGATTATTTAGATTTATAATGCTAGGCTATAAGCAATAGGTAACTAAATAGATAGGTAATAATTTAAAACTAAGATGAAATACAAAAGTGATTATGAATTTTATTTGTCTTACTCAAATTCATCAGCTATAAATAAATTAATATAAATGTACAGCATTTTGTCATAATTATTTAATGTAACAAATTTGTATTATTACACTATGAATAGAAATTACAAATAATGCTTAATATTCTTTTTCCCTTTAAATACTCATTTTAAATGAAGATTTAGAGCTATATCTCAACATAATATTAGATGATTTATAATCTAAAAAAAAAAAAAACAAAGCTTAGAATAAAAAATAAAAAAAATAAAAACATACTTTGTTTGAAATCAAATTCATTAATACATTTTACATAAATAATGAATTTAAACTATAGTGTAATGACATTCAACCTAAATGTAAGAGGCATATCAATTCATAAAAAACTTTAATTCACTTTTTTTTTCTAAACTTTATAATATATATATTTTTTTTATGTATCAGTTATGATTTATACTTTTATTTACCGCGTATTTATGACTGAGACCACCAATCTTGAGTTGAAGAATTTCCATTGGGAGCTGCACCACCACTATTGTATGATCCTCCATAATTACCACCACCATAAAATCCACCTCCTATAGAGTAAAACAAAAATTAATTATACATAATGTTTAATACTATGAAAGGGTAACAATAATCAAATTTGGTAAATAATATTAGTATAAAATTACCATTGTTACTGCCACCTCCATAGTCCCTACGAGGTGGACCAGAACTACCACGTGATGGTGGCATACTGCTCGTAGTACGATAATCTCGAGAACCAAAACCGGCACCGCCAAAACGACTTCTGCAATTTTTAAGATAAAAAATTTAATAACTTAAGATACTCCTCAATTTAAAATAATTTAAAATATAAAAATTGGATAACATACCCTCCTTTTGCTCCATTACTTCTTCTTCCACTGCTCATTCTGAAGTCAGTAGCCATACTTTCCAACCATCCAGGTAATTCCTGTTTCGATTCAGTTATCAATTCCATTAGGTCTCTAGTTAAATTGCGATTTTTGTCATTGAAAAAAGAAGTGGCCAATCCTTTAAAAAAAATTATAACCATTTGTTAATATAGTTAAATACTGTCAATTAAATTATTTAATTTTTAGATACAGTACAAGAATTAAAATAGAACTCACCTAAGTTTCCCATACGGCCAGTACGTCCAATACGATGCACATACTCCTCAACATCTGATGGTAAATCATAATTAATCACATGTGTTACGTGAGGTATATCTAAGCCTCTAGCTGCAACAGCTGTAGCAACTAAGACTGGTGTATTCCCTGATCGGAAACTTTTTAATGCATCTTCACGTTCTCGCTGAGTTCGGTCACCATGAATAGAGGTTACTGGATAACCGTTGGAATACAAAAATTCTTCCAATGAGTCAGCGCCTTTTTTAGTTTCAACAAACACCAATATCAAAGACTCAGCAGGTTCTGTAATCGAGATTAAGAAAATTATAAAAATGAAAATAAAAAATAACATTCAAATTTACTAACGTGATCTAATTGGAGTAGCATTTAGTAAATCTAATAAATAGGATCTTTTGTTTCGGTCTTCTACCCAAACAATTTTTTGTGTTATATTTTCAGATGTTGATCCAACTCGACCAATAGCTAAGAAAATATAGTTGTCAAGAAAATCTCTAGCCAACATCTGTAAGAACATAGATAAAAATGTTTATGAAAGAATGAATAATTTTAATATAATTAATTTTAATTACTTGAATTTCTTTAGGGAATGTTGCAGAGAACATCAAAGTTTGTCTATCACCTGGAGGAGGCATAGAATCCTTCTCAACAATACGTCTTATTTGTGTTTCAAAACCCATATCTAACATTCTATCAGCTTCATCCAAAACTAAGTATCGACAAAAATCTAACCCAATTTTACCTCTCTCTAACATGTCTACTAAACGGCCAGGAGTAGCCACTAATAAATGACACCCCTGTTCTAGATCACGGATTTGGTCCATAACATGTGAACCACCATAGCTGTAATAAGAATAAATTTATAATAAATAAATTATTTTTATATATTACATAATTAATTTTAAAAAAAACTTACACAACACAAGGACGCACTCTAGAACGATATGCAAACTTCTTTGCTTCATCATATATTTGGGTAGCTAATTCACGAGTAGGAGCTAATATTAAACCAAGAGGATATTTACGCCTTGATTGTAGCTGTTATAACATTCATTTTAAGAAAAATATTAAAAAATAATTCTAAAATAATTCTTAATTATTGTCAAACCTTAGGCCCAACATTATATGCGGCTGGCCCTTTTTCATAAATCTGATTAAGTATGGGAACCAGGAATGCAGCAGTTTTGCCTGATCCAGTTTGGGCACAGGCCATAACATCACGACGGCCAACAATAATCGGTATAGCATACTTTTGAACTGGAGTTGGAGTATCATAACGAGTCAATGCAATATTCATGCGTATAATATCTGTCAGCTTAATGTCGTCAAACTAGAAATAAGATGCATGAAAAAAATATTAATAATCAAACTTGATACACATTAAAATATGTTATTATCGAATTTGATTATATTAAGCTTACTGTATTAATATGGGAGGGTATATCTTCACCAGTTGCTTCAACTGGAATATCTTCATATTTATTGAAGTTAATGCCTGTACTACTATTTCCAAAAAGTTCTTCTTCCAAACGTTCATCAGGGGGCAGTGGTTTTGTCCAATCTTGATTAGGGGCGCTTGATTCATCCCAACGGCCTCTACGATTTTCCCCTGATCTATAATCATTATCACTGTTAAGAATTGTTGAGAATATAATTTAAAATAATAAAATAAACAACCTTCTTCCATCACGTCCACCACCTCCTCCTTCTTGCCACCTGCTACCCCCTCCGCCACCACCACCTTGATTGAAACGCGACCAATCGCCGCCATCTCTATCATTGCGGTAATTGCCTCTATAACCACCTCCGCCTCGTCCGCCACCATAACCGGAACTCGATGATCCATTATAGGAGCGATCTTCATAATCATCTCTTCGGCCACCACGGCGATCGTTTCCTAAAAATTTTTTATATCTAATAAGTTAAAATGTTCAAAATATGGAAAATTTTTTTTAAATAATGTAGTTTTAAAAACCTGATGGTTGGCGGGGTGCGTTAAAATCTCTGTCGTTAACAACACTTTCTGTAACAAAAAAAGAAAAAGAAAATAACTATTTATGTAACAATTCAAATAAAACACACTGTTCCAAAAATCATGTTAAAGAATCTTAAGAACACAATACGAAGAAAATCAAGTTTTTTATATTTAAAATTAAAGATAGCAATTATTTAATATAATTTTTATAATTCAATGAGATAAGGAAAACTAGAAGAACCCAGTCAGTCATATTTTGGTCACTAACTATCTTTCACCGAAACTAGAATAAAAGACACTGGGAAAGAAAACTTTTCCAGTACATTTAATAATTTAAATACATACATGTATCATATACAATATAGTTTTTATGGGAGTAAATAACCTTCATTGTCAAATATAAATTGGTGAGACTGTGAGTATTTTCTATAACAGTGATCATATTTTAACATAAATGTAAAACACTGTTTTAGTCATTCTTACTTCTAGTATTTTTTATGTATTATAACTTCTGGGTTCAAAATAAAAATTACATTTTTGAAATATGATTTTATGACTCAATTACTATAGAATTAATAATATCACTAATTTTTAGGGTTCATTAAATTAAGACCTAATAGCTTTTTTATTATTTTACACTAAAAAACTTATTTCATATGCACATTTCTAATTTAAGCTTAAGACACAAATTCAATTGCTCTTGCGGTACTACTCTGTTTATCTAAAAAATATCATGTGATATTTATTCAATTCAAGTGTTGTAATTTTATTGAAGACAATTCCTAAGAAAATTTCGAAGGTTTAATATTGATAAAATTATTATTTTGTTTGATGGGGAACGAGGTGAATACTCAAAATAACTAGAAAAACACTCAGATACCATCACTATAATATAGGAAGTTTAATTTATATATGTATGTATATATATAATATACGTGCATTTTTTCATGATTGTATAAATTCAAAAATGAAACTGCTAACTTCCATACTATTTTAAGTTATGTAAAATATTTTATGAACAAAAAAATGTCAAACCTTACCTAACTCAAAGAATTAAAGAAATAATTGTCTTAGGACAATTGGTGTACCTAAAGTTGATCCCATATACCTATCATATATGGCCCAACACTTTCATAGTGCTATGGTAATCAATATATTTTGTACTAATTACTAAAAAACTATCATTTTAACTTCAAATTATTATTTTGTTTGATGGGGAACGAGGTGAATATTCAAAACAAATAGAAAAACACTCAGATACCATCATTACAATATTGGAAGATTCATTTAAATATAACAAAATATAAATTCAATTTTAGTTCATGATTGAATGAATTCAAAAATGAAAAATTCTAACTTCCATAACCTTGTTATGATAATATATTATACAGCAAAGCTCAACATATAATTGAATACTTGATGCAGTAAACCCTTCAATTTACATTTAAAGTGAAATTGTTTTTTATTATTATCATGAGGTTTGTGATATGAATTTAAATTCATTTCTAGGCTTAATTTTAGACTATCTTTAAAAGCGTGGGCTATTATTCTTTAAACAAAAATTTATTTTGCAAAACATTGTTTAAAATAGGTACAAATACATTTTGGGAAACGCTTACTTTGGTTTAAATGAAAACAAAAAGCTATAATAACAATTACTCTATGACAGTTTCAATATTTATTAAACATAGTGATTACACATTAACATTATACATAAGATTGATGTAAAGAAATTATTAACACCAATCAATAGGCTGGACAGTATTGACTCAGAAAACTAATGGAATTTTTCTTTATTAACAATTAGGAAATTAGGATGTTAATTACTTATATCTCAAGCCATGGTACCAAATATTGCACACTAAGTTATTTATGAGAGTAGTTTTTATTTTTAACTAATCCATTGAAGGTAGGTACACTGGAACAAATTTAAACAAATTAAACGTTATAATATAAAGGAAACAGTATAATATCATGATTTATATTTTAGTAACGATATAAATGTATAGTGCCATAGATAGACTATGCAGTGTGTATACAAACACGGATTTCAATATTAAGGTATTTATTGAAATAAGAAATGTTAGTATTTTACGGATCAATACAGAGTTTGCTTATTATTAACATTGACTAAATGAGAACATAATTCAAAAGTGAGGCAGAAGTAAAGGTATAATTTGGTCGATGTAACTTATTAATAGGATAAATAAATATAAATGGAGAAGAAACTCAACCTACATTAAGCCAGTTGTTTGATATAAAATCCACTTTACAAAAACTGATATGCACAAAACATATGGGTATTTGTTAGTATTTAAAGAAAATATTTTTTTAGTTTGTAGGGCTCAACAAATAGCTGAAAAATTAACAAGCCAGCTTAAGTTGTTCAAATAGTTTCTCAAAACTTTGATTAGAAAAAGATGTCTTGGTTTTTATAGATCATTAAATTATTAAGAGGGATAGTTGAAACATATAAGTAATAAATCATATAGAATTACAAATATATCTTAATAATCATTGTATCATATTGTTATTGATAAATGTCAAATATCATAATCATGTATTTCTATAACAAGGATGTAAAGTTGCTAATAAATGAAATTAGCTTTTTACAAGCTATTGTTACTGTATTATAGTAGTGACAATCCTGTATTGTCTATAAATACATAATTTATTTCTTGTAACCATGGTACTTACACAGTTAAAAGATAATTTACATTTCATGGTTATGATTTTAAGTTATAGTGATATATTTACTTATATTAAGTAATTATATAGTGTTGTTTATTTTATCTTTTGCCAATCTACAATATAATTTTCATTCAACTATGAATACCTATAGTTGAGTCTTGATAACCCGAATTGCAAAGAAACACCTATAAAAATTAATTTAACATATATTCTTCAAGTTACATTTCACAAATATAATGGCCATAATGACTGTTACTTGTAGGTGTAGGGAGCCACAATAGGTTTTACTTTATTTTTCTCCAAATAGAATTGATAATTCCCCCCCAAAAATGGACAAAAAAGGGGACTTTATTTATTTACCAGATGTAGAAGAAAAGTTCCCAAGGTTTTTGAGTTATCGCAGCTTAACTACATATTTAACTAAAATAAAAAAAAATGTATTAAATTAAAATTCATCAAAACAACATTACAAAATGGTAGATCTGTTAAAATCAAATAATACATTCAGTTATTAAATAGTAGTTATTCTTAATAATTTATAACATTTTATTAACTATAAATGTTTATACTTGTCAAATATTTAATGTATTTATTAATAATCAATAAACAATAACAAAATACCTAAATAAATTCAAGTATAATATAATACGGTATGTCAATTATGTGGCCTTAAGACACTGCAATATTGTATGAACTATAAAATAAAAAAAACCAACTATAGGTAATTCTTTTGTTTGAACTATGATTTTGTGTGATTGAATTTAGTAAAATGTAGTTGTAAACAAAAACAAATGCAAACAAATTATCAATTATTAAAATGTTAAAATTATGACAATGAACAGAACAAAGAAAACAGTGTTGCAATGCTGCAAGTGTAGACGAATTTAAGAGAAAAATATAATATTTCAATTCATCTATTATGGTTAATAAACATAAAATTACCGGATTCTACTGCTTCGGAATTATCCGGTCTGTTCCTCAGATGAGGTGGAACGTACTTGCTTGGAGCCGAACTGGGCTGTGAATTGCCCTGCAAGTCCAGACCAGCAAACTGGAAAAATAAACCAATAAAACCATAAGAATCATCACATACGGTTAATATGTTTCATGATAATCAGTCAATGTAAATTAGCGGCACTATTCTAAGACGGCGGTAACCTAGACAATGAAAATTCGCACGTATCTTAACCTAGTTGATGGTCAGTTGATGAACATTGAAACGAACAAATGAAATTCTTACCTGCTGCTCTAGACCTGATCCATTTTGATTGGGTACATTACTCATATTATTACAAATCGGCGACGATAAATGCGTTGCTGCACTTGCGAGTGTAAATCAACAAAACGAACGTACAAAAATTAAATCGCTGTAATGAAAAGTATTATGGCAAATGCCAATAATGGCCGACTAGATTGAAAGGAGACAGACAGCTGATAACCTTGAATGCGACGTTACCATCATGCCGGTTATAACCAAAAACAATTTACTCTTTTCTTGTATTCCATAAGTATTTTAATTATATTATTGTCATAAATTGGCGAATTGTCATAAGAATTAAATTTAAATTGGTTAAAATGAAGGATTTAATAAAAAATAGTATTAAATTTAATTTCTTTTTCTCAACGAACATTAGTTGGCTGCACTGGATACTCGAGGCACGCATCACGTCCGTGTGCGTCCGCACTGATTACAATGTTTTTTTGATTTCACGAGTCTTTCCTACGTGAAACAGTTCCTCGAGTAGTCATCTTGTAAAACGTAAGTACAATTTTTCATCCTTATTTATCTTGGCAATCCCAATTTTACAGACAGATATCCGTCTTTGGTTCGGCTTAAGTTCGTATTGCGATCGAAGTTTTTTGTTGCCCCCAACTTTTTTGAACACATCAACCGGTATTCGAATCTGGTCCGAAGTGGTACGGTCCCCGGGTTTTTAGTATACATAGTCGGGAGATTGATTGTCTCGCGTCGATTTAAAATAATTGACGTAAGTCGTACCTAAGACGGTTTTCTGGATTGTGGATTCTACTCTTGGTTTGCTGATGACTGATTTGACATTTATGTTTTACAGGTATCACAATGGGTAGGGTTATTCGTGCTCAGAGGAAAGGTGCGGGAAGCGTTTTCCGTTCCCACACTAAACACCGCAAAGGCGCCCCGAAACTCAGGAACTTGGACTACTCGGAAAAATATGGTTACATCAAGGGAGTCGTTAAGGTAATTAACATGACATTTTATTTGTTATACGGATGTATGTGTTTTCACATAATTCATGTTTTTATTAGTACGAATTCATGTCAATTATACAGCTTAACTTTAGAGCAAGTTAATTTTCATACGTAAAATGTTAAGTTTTATACCTCCCTTAAAAATTATATATTCAAAAAAAAACCTTAATCTGCACTTATCATAATTTTTCTTTAATTTCCACCAAGTTTTTAAATATTATTAATGTATAATCTATAGTTAATGATTTTTGTGTTGTAGGACATAATTCACGATCCTGGTCGTGGAGCTCCTTTAGCTGTTGTTCATTTTAGGGACCCATACAAATATAAGACAAGAAAAGAGTTATTCATTGCACCCGAAGGTGTATACACAGGTCAATTTTTGTACTGTGGAAAGAAAGGTATGACATTGTTATTAAAGAAATGAATAATATAATTATTACTCTAACAACCTTCTTGAATTTGCTTGGTTACTTGTAGCTAAATTGAACATTGGTAATGTTATGCCTATTGGTGTAATGCCTGAAGGTACCATTATCTGTAATTTGGAAGAAAAAACTGGTGACCGTGGCCGTTTGGCTCGTGCTTCTGGTAATTATGCCACCGTTGTTGCCCACAATCCAGACTCCAAAAGGACCAGGGTAAAGTTGCCATCTGGTGCCAAAAAAGTTATTCCATCCAACAACCGAGCTATGATTGGTATGTATTACAGAGTTAATGCAACAAACAACATATTTTTATTGACTTATTCAGCAGGGTTTATGTTATAACCAGAATAATATTTGACCCTTTGCAAATAAAGTGTTAGCTCAAAAATGTGCTTTATCACTATAGTCACAATACATTATTCTTTCATATGTGTTTTTCTAACACATTATAAGGCATATGTACTGTATAGAGTATAGAACAGTATCTTTAAATTCTTGTCAATGAAAACTTCATATATTTGTTGTCTGTCATTTAAAGAGATGAGGGTGTTTGACAGATCAGTCTCCATGCTTGAGATAGTTCACTTTAATAGAATTCTGAATAGACTAAATATTATGTTAGGTTAATTCATTTGTCAAGTATTTTAATAAGTAATAAAATCTATGATGTTTTAGACATTTGAAACCTGATAATACTCAGTGAAGTCAACATTAAATACTGAGATTTTTTGTACTTCAACTGGTACTTAAATGTTTTTAGACAATTGGTTTGAATCTATGATGTTGAAATTTATAGACATTTGAAACCTGATTTTAAGTGAAGTCACATTGTAACTGAGGTTCAACCTATTATGATTTATTTAAACATCAGAATTACTGATAATTTATATTATGCTATATTGTTAAAATCCGACTTATGTTAATTTAAAAAAAAACCATTTATTATACTAGATAAATTATGCTTAAAAAGTACCTATTAGCAAGTTTGTAATTTGTATTTTAAAGGTCTGGTCTCTGGTGGTGGACGTATTGACAAACCTATGTTGAAGGCTGGACGTGCATACCACAAATATAAGGCTAAGCGTAATTGCTGGCCTAAGGTGCGTGGTGTTGCTATGAACCCTGTTGAGCATCCTCACGGAGGTGGTAATCATCAACATATTGGTAAAGCATCCACAGTCAAGAGAGGAACCAGTGCAGGAAGAAAGGTAAACATCATTTTTTATATATTTTTATATTTACTAATCATTCTCTTATTGTGTTTTAGGTTGGTCTCATTGCTGCCAGGAGAACTGGTAGAATTCGTGGAGGTAAAGTGGTCACCAAAAAGGGTGATGATTAATCTGTTTATTGTCGTGTTTGTATTAAATTTTACAAATAAAAAAAAAAAATAAAACAACAAAGTTGTGTTTATTTGGTGTGACCTTTTTTAGCCAATTAAATAACTGATATTCATATTCCTTGATGTAAACGATTATATTAGTCTATAACTTACAATTAATGTTCAATAAATATAGTATGTAAATTATGCTATATTTAATACTGAATTCAAATAGTTGTAATTAAAGAGCAGATTTTTAGGATTTTACATATTCTTTTTGGCTATATGCAGCTCAGCGGCATTAATTAATCTGGGCCAGGGGCCATCTTTTCTGGATGGTTAAAGGTTTCACCTATGGATAACTTAGTTTTATTTGTGGGTAAACAACACGGGGAGATGTGGTAGTATTGTGATCAACGGTTCCTGGTTTTTAAACTGTAGAAAAAGACTTAATAATCATAATAACTTTTTCAGTATGGAAGATCTTAGATAAATGTATTTTACACGATGCAGCATATTTTATAAATAAAAGAATATATTCAGCCTATGTTTCATATTTAAGAATATTCAGTATTTATTCATAGGAAAACAGGCATGTTTTGTTCATTTCAAGAGTCAAAATATTTTGTCAAATGGAAAAAACGGTTAAAATTTCAAAACAAAAATGTATAAAAATTGTTCTTAATTTTCCTTGATTGCATTTTAATAATTTACCAGAGAGATAGAGTATTAATTGTTTTCAAGTTCAAACGTGTTTTTTCATGGTTAGTGTAAATATAAATTAATAATTTTAATTTAAACAATATATTTACATGATGTGTTTCTACTATGACAGGTACTCAGATTTTTTAGATCATATTTTGATCTTAAGAACCTTAAATCTGCTCTTTAGTGAAGATGATAATGTATATTATGTCTCTGAAGTGTACTTAAATATGTGTTTTATATATAAACTTTTTGGGTTGAGGAGAACTTATTATTTTTTGTTAGATAATAGCTATTAGTGGAAATTTACGACCATATTTATTTGTCGACCGATGGTATTAAATATTAATGAGTATATGTACGGTCAAATTTGCCATTTTATGTACAATACTAACTTCTTGCTACCCATCAACAGTTTGATGTGGATATTGTATTGTTCTAAGATTGTATGTTTACTATTTGTTTTATGTTTAAGAGCTTAGGTTTCCGCACTACCAAAATCTATGAATAGTCATGGGTTTACTGTATGATGGAATTTCTATAAAGATAGTTATACAAATATATTGCTCAAAGTCCTTGTGGTTCTTAAAATGTTTGTATGAATACAAATTAAAACCATGGCAACAATTTCAACGTAGGTTTATGTAAGATCACAAGTTGTATCAATATCACTAATATTACCTCAATTCATAATTGTACTTTCGAGTGTATTGTTTGTAAAATAATATTGTGATAATATGGATTACATTGATTTAAAAAAATTAAGTGAAATGTTGGAACCACCATCAGCAAATTCTTCGGATAGTGAAGATGATCTTCCAAAATCATCTTTAGTGCAACTTTGTAAGTATAGTAACTACCTACCTTTATTAGGTATATTATTCTAATTATTTTTAAAGCCCAACTTTGTATAATATACGACGACGTGTAGATACTAGTTATCCACTTGCAGCCTTTATTTCACACAATTATTTCCCCAAAAACAAAACAACACGATCACCCCCTGACGTAATAATATAATAAATTTATCCGTATTCATATATAGAAATTATTTTCGACTATAAAATTTAAAAAAAATAATGGGGATGCATTCCGAAAGTACCTACCAACTAGATCCGATTTGCTACAAAAAACTTGAATTGAATTAAATTATCAGAGCATTTTTTATTCTGCTAAAAATGTTCTGTCACAAATACAAAGAACGCATTGATAAATCAATCCACAGGCTTCCTCTATTTTAAACAGGCTCTTGGATTTACTCCTTTGTATTTCGTAGACATTGTTAAGTATAAGCAGCACCGATTTTTAATATTGCAGTCATTTGGGTAGTTTTGATCTAATATAATATACTCGTATAAAATTAAACCCACTCATAATATCCATTTTATTTACCGGGTAGCATAAAAACTCGTCAAAATCGGTTCATTCGTTTCGAAAGCCTTTCCCAGACAAATAGTCAATAGACATATGAAAGAGGGTCTATGTATTTTTAATATTTTTCAACTGCTATTGTAAAAATTTATCAGGACCATTGCATAACATTTTACATCTTTTTGAACCAACAATAACATTTTATTGACATTTATAGAAAAAAAAACTAAAAAAATTAAAAATGTACATAAACAGTTCACAACGAATCAAAATCATTTAAACATTTTACTAAGTATAGGAATTGATAATGATATGACGGAAATTTCAAGTCTTTACGGTAGGTAATTCTTTTTTGAATTACTACAGAAAAAGATTTAAAAAGATACATTTTTATGAATTCTTAACTTAGGTATAATAATTTGAAATTTTTCTTGATTTTCACGAAGTTTGTCAAAATTTAAACTAAATTAGCTTCTAAATACAAACCACATTTTTGGGGAAGGAGTAGCCCCCTAAATTACGCTTATATAACTTTACAATTTGGTACTTTATAAGTAAGTCTACACATTTTTTTTCCGGGTAACTAATTTCTACAGAAACAATCAAAATCTTTCATTGGGAACACCTCATTCGAAAAAATTTATCTTAGTGCGCTATAATATGGCGGTACAAAGCAATGGTGCAACGGCACCACTAACTTAAAATTGTTTACAATTGGCCTAACATTAATACTCCAGTGCGTCGTCATAATCAACTTATACATTATGATTTTATGTAGGTATAGGTGATATAAATAAAATTTTTTTTTTCAAGTTTTTGTACATTTTAGGTTTATCAGGTTTATTGATTGGGTATACTTTATTTACCTTTTTTTCAAATAATAGTGAAATGGCTTTAGCTGGTTGCTTTAGTTGCTTATAAGATTTTAATTCTTTGAATTGCTAGCTATTTAAAAGTTACATTAGTCGTTATGAGTTTCAATTAGAATTATAAAAGGGAAGGAATGAATATTTACATAAGTTTGCATACGTAAATAGGTTACCTACATTTTTATATAAATATATTTTTTTTAATGACCTGGTGAAATGCCAAAATTGGCCTGCCTAAAAGTTTGCACACCCAGAAAAAAAACTGAAATGACGCCCCTGAGTATTGACAAGCGATTTCTCCTAAATTTCAAAATGTATAAGAGTTTGAGTCCTTATAATATCTTTAAAAATCTCACATTGCCCCCAGTCAATTTTTCAAAAGATTAACATTTTATTTTGTAATAAGCTATTTATAATTAAAGAAAAAATATAATTTAAGAGGATGTTACCCACTTGTTTGTTATCTCCGTCTTACCAACTTACGATATGGCAAATATTCTTTCGTCCGCTTGTTTGAATAGTGTGTAGTTTTAATATTAGAGTGAATTTAAATATTATTAAGCTTTTAGGTAAGAACATTATTTTTGCTTAAGCGTCGGCAGATTTTCGATATTTTCATTTTCAAGTAAGATACGAGTATGTGAAATAACACAAATCAAAAATGCTCATATCTCGTTTGAAAATTAAAATATCCAAAAATCCACCGACCCTTAAGCATAGATAATGTTCTTACTTAAAACTTTGATGATACCTAGGTCAATTAATTTTAATATCAAAACTAACAGCACACTATTGAAACTAGTGAACGAAAATATTATATGTCGTACGTATGTTAGACGGAAACAACACGTATAACGTTATATATTTTAAATTTAAATACCTACTAATACAATATAAAATAATAATAACTTTAAGTACCTACCTAGTTATGTTATATATTTGATATTTGAAATTAGTTTTTATTCAACGTAGTTATACATTTCACTGAAATCAGTTATAAACTGTAAATTATAGAAGAACTCTCCCTCAGAAAAACGCCTCCTTCAAAATAAAAAATGCGGCCTAAGGGGGCGGTAGCACCCACGTTGGGAAACACAGGTGTTGGAGTTGAGTACTGTGGAAAAGTCGGTTTCAAGTAAACTTCATAACAAATTCAAGTATGTTTTCAGAAATTTAATTCTATATATAGTCGATACGATTGCCATAAGATTTATTGTGGTATACAAGACAAGTATATAACACAGACGGGATAGGTTTCTCTTAAATAATTATTATTATTGGTGGCATTATCCATTAGGTAATTTGATTTAAAATACAATTAATTTTAACAGGATAAAAGTAGGTGGGTTGTAGGTAGGATTTATAAGCTCAGTAACCTATACAGTTATTATACGTCCAACGAAAATGTTATCTTTGTTTCGAGGTCCTTGCAGCAATATGAATTCAATTACTTTCTTCTTATTAAAACGATAATAGTCACTAGGCAGTAGCCAGTAACTTTGAACTTTGTGGTAGCTGGTAACCAGTTATGGGTGTTATTTTAAATTTATGAAAATAGTAAGTCAAATTATATTTAACAGTTTTCTTTTTTATGTTGTATACTTGTATGGTACATCTTAACCGTGGCTTATAATTTAAATAGGTCGGTCAAAAACAGGAAAAGATACAACAATCTTGACAACTGAATCTATAAAGAAAACTGAAGAAAAAACTAAAAAAAAAATTGAAGTATTACAGTCGGAAGAAGAAAAAGCTAAGAACATATGGCTAGATGAAGAGATCGTAGCTGCTCCAGAAGCTATTGACGTCGTTTCAGACAGTAGAGTTAGACCTGAATATGATGTAAAGTATCAACAATTTGTAGGAACAGAAGATGCGTTTCTACAAGTAATTCAATTAAATAAAATATTTTGTGTACCTAACTTAGTGTTTATTACAGCGTTTATACTTTATACTCTAGGTTCTAGGTGAACATACATTATTAATAATTTTTAAAGGTTAAAATAAACAAATAGGTACTAACTATTTATTGATGGGTTTTCGGGGTGTTATGACCATTATTTTACCAACATCTTACATTCATGTATTTCAATCCCTATTAGGTTATGTATATAATAATACTATATAATATAGGTACCGTCGGATACATTATACAATACTATACCTACTTGCTACTATGCAGTCAATAGTCAATACTGCATAATATAGATGCCTAGTGCAGTACTCATTGCCTACTATAGATAATACGTTAATACTTTTAGTGGCTGCGGTATGATGGTTCTTTATTGTAAGATATCCAAAAATAATACATTTTTTTTATTGAACTTATCTGCAGATTATGCTTGTAAAATAAAACAAATAACAATTATTAACAACATACAAATCTAAACCTATTTTTAGATTAACTATTATTGGCATCGAATACTTTTATCATTTTAATATGATTTTGAAGCAAAATATAATGGATAAAAGTAAAAAGTAAATCTAAAACAAAAATTTCATTTTATTTTGATAGATATATTTAGAATCAACATTATATGAAACCTATATTTATGCATAGAAATAACATTTCTATCATAATAAGAAAAACAATAGTCTTATTTTATAGGTATTACCATTGATTTTACATACTATAGGCATATTTACTCAATGATATTCGATATTATTTTCGATGGTTAGTAAATATTAATATTTAAATAGCGATGGATCGATATGAATAAGCGTATATTCTATAAAAATAATTATATACCTAAGCTTAATATACATGATAATATTTTGTATTATAAGTTTGCAAGTTAATTTGAGTTAAATCTGGAACTTGCTATTAATAAAATCATATTATTTATGTTGAAGGCTCTCTTTTAATTTTGTTTTTATTGTATACTGCAGTAACTATTGACCTATCATTGTAACTTAAAATGTTAACAAAATGTTTAAAAAATTTTGCAAGTGTTTTACTGATTTAGTTTTATTGTTATAAAAAATAATAGATATTGATCGATTGTATTAATACTTCAATTATATTTACCTAATTATTAATTTGACGTTTTGAATTAAAATGATGAATGGCCTAATGGAATGAAAATTTCTTTTAAATTAAAATTGTCTTGTATTACATTTTATAAGCATCATATACTTGTACGAATGTAAAACAAGTGGCATAGAATTATATAATTTTTAAGTCTACAAAAATGTATTAACAAAAAAAGATTCTCCATTCTATTAATATTCAGTTAAAAGTATTTCGTACATTTAAAATAACTTGGGTTAAATTTTATATTTATGTAGATTTTTATTGTCCTACAGGCTACACCATTGTAGGTAGTTATAAGTTCGTAAGTCTAAAATATTAATTTAAAAAATAATGTGTTTTCAACTATGTTATTACTTATAATTTTATCAAACTGTTTCTCTATTACGTTTAAGCACTAATAACAATATTAATGTAATAATAAATTATTTATATGTATCTAAAGATTATACTAAAATCATATTTATGATAATATATGGACTATTGTTAGGTATTAGTGGTACCTATTAGATAAATGTACGGCGTCTAAAATGATCTACAAAACAAAAGTATAATATTACATTTAAAAAGAATGACATAGGTATACTCTCTTGCACAAACAACGTCTATATATTATTATTAGGTATTTCTATAACCATGTAAAGTTCATAACTACTATAATAATAGTCAACAACTATGTGTCTATATTGTTTTTGTTTATAGTTTATGGAATGTGGATATATGGTTGGTATATTTAAGTTATCTTTATCATGGTATTATATTTTTATCATGTGTTTATTATGAAAGATTACAGTGGTCAAGTTTAACATAATATAATTATGTTTAATTTTATTAAAATATTGGATTCTATGAGTTAATATCATTTATTTGTTGGAAGAAGTCAGAGAGACCATCTGATTATTATTACTGTGTACCTAATTGAATGTGACATTTGTCACATTCTTTTCGATTGACCTAATCTTTTATTTGTAGAGCTATTCTTTTTTTTCGGTTTTCTCTGCTGTATTTTTCTCTTGATATTTTTTCATAGTCAGAATGTTTCTTCTCGATAATTAGTATTTGTTTTTAAACTATTGATCTACCTACCTTAGTATATGATTTATCATAAATTATTAAATATTTGGGTATAAAATATATACATTTATGTAATTGTGCAGGTACGTATTTATAATTATAGCACATTTATATTTCAAACATTTTTATATCTATTTCAATATTATGTGCATTACAAACCACCAGTGACACTAAAATTTTAATTAAACAATTTTCGTTAAAATAATGAAAAACATATAAATATTTATTTATTTATCTATGTTTTATGAGTCTAATTATTATTTTTCATAAATAAGAATATGTGTATGATAATAATAAAAATTGTTCGTAAATAATGAAACCAAAATGTTAGGAAAGCTTTTTCTGCAGCGAGCGTTCTAAATCCCTAGTTTCAATTGTAGATCGTTTTTTTTTCATAATTTTAGTGTGGTGGTATTGCATACATAATAAGTTATTTTTGTGTTAAGAATTTAAGATATTGGTCAACAAATTGTATTAACATTATATTTTTTAATTTATAAAAATTGTGTCAGTGGTTAGTGGTTATCAGTTTACAATCATCACTATCACTCCGAATTGAAAAAAAACATTTGTTTACCCATAGATAATTTAAGAATAATATTATGTATAGTAATGTAATATTATATATTTAATATTTATATAATGTATAATAATATTTGAATGTATAGTTGTATTACTCTAAGGTAGGTATCGCGTATTTGAGAACCAAGATAAGGACATATTGGATTAAAACATAATGTGGATAATCTAAAATCTTATATTTTTCTTGGTTAGGCATTAAACATAAAAAAGGTCGAGAGGGGGGGGGGGGGTTATCTCCATCATTATCCCTTCATAACTTTAGCACTGAGTAGGACAGTCAATATTTTAAGTGAAAAGCTTATATGAAAAGTATGTAGCAAACGACGTTGTTCAAGTCTTTAGTCTTGAAAATGACTTAGTTTCGTTAATAAATGATAAATTATACCCAAGCGAATAATAAACCAAATTATTCGTGAACTGTGTGTTGTCGTGTTGATAAATAAATATCTTTGGCGTTCTGTAATATTTTGAGTTTTAAATTAAACTTATATATTTTAATTGTATAAATTAATTTATAAATTACACCTGTTAATGTTTTGAATACGAACTCTATTTTAAATGTCGTGTTGCAATAAATACTTTTTTTGTTTTACATTTTGCTTAATTTACAAAAATTTGACGTAATAATAAAGCTTATAATTTTTTTTAGATGGGACCAAAGACTCCACTTACTTCTAGTTGTGAAGCGATGGTGATTGAAGTAAAAATGCCTGGAGACCGTATGCCAGGTATTTGTACAGATATAACAGAAGACGCTGTTGATATCCGCAGCCCTAAGTATAGATTGCACGTGCCGTTTCCACATAATGTGCACAAACAAATGTCGAAGGCTTCGTGGAACTCTTCGACCAGTACTCTTACAATAACTGTATTCCTAAAACGTGAATACGACGATATCAATTTCTGATATGTAGCCATAAAAATAATATAGGTTATTATTTATCAATAAATTATTCGATATTTTTTTTATACCGAAATATTTTGTTTCATTTTGAATAAATTCAATATTTTCATTTTTACGATGTTCAATTTTAGTATGTTACAATAATAGATACATTTTCGCTGAGAATATCGGCTACCTATAGTAGACAAACTGATAAGAGGTTAAAATATATTGATCTCATTTGTCTACTATCATAGCTTCAACTAACTATAGCCCATAGGCTTATAAGAAGGTTATTCTTAGGGCTTATTTAACCCTCTGTTAGTCTTACGGGGGAAAGCAGTGGAGTAGCCAGGATTATGAAATGGGGGACAGGGTCAAAACACCCGGGATGGCTGGCTACGCCACTGGGTGTACATATGTATTAATCTGAATGATGGTCGGACAATAAATAGTATTGGGATAACACGCATAACTAGGACACTTTGAATAAAATGATCTCAACTCTCAAGTGTTGGTTTATCAAGTTGAACTATTGATTGTTGATACTTGATATCTTAGGACATCATTTACTATGAACGGAGTAATGCCCATCCCATCAGTATAAACAATTTGAAGCACATACTTAGATAAGTAAACGATATTTTTCTTCACACATTCAACATCATAGATTGAGAATTGTCTCCTCTAATATGTGCTTGAAAGTATGATTGAATGTGCATTGAAAAGTAATAAGTAGTAATGATTTATCAGTATTTATGGTCTCCGTCTTACAAGTGCGCATCAATTTTAGCATATCTTTTTTGTATTGTTATTTTTAAATGTTTTAATATTAGAGTGATAATAATTATTTAAAACTAATGAACCTTAATTATAACTGTTGAACTAAAATTTGATATGTTTCACACATGAACATTTGGAGACAACTCATATACATCCATACAGGTTAAACGTCCTCTCAAAAGGAAATTTTTTATCATTTTTTAATAATTTTTTTTAGTTTTATATTTTTTGTACAAATATTGGAAGATGTTGAGATTTGGAGCAACTTTATAACATATTAAAATAATTTTGTTTTGGACTTCTTGGAGCATAACGCCTGGAGGGTAAATTATTTTGCAAATGTATTTTTAGGAATTTTTAATTTTAATTTTTTGTTCTTAATGTTATTTATTTTAAATTTTTACATCATTTCTCTATATCACAGGATTTTTTTGTAGCTTTTGTACAATGGTCCGGGGGGAGGGGGTGTGGCATTTTTCTTCATTTATTAATTGTAATTACTCTGATACTCATTATTACACCCACATATTTATAATAATAATTATTGTTTTTAAATTAAATTGTTTTGAGGCCACTTTAGTGTGTTTTTAAGTCTGAAATCCTACCTCTACAGTTATTACATACTACTTTTACTTTAAATCATACATTCGTGTTTATTATTTTAATCACAGTTAATGGTAGCTGCCAACAATCTACAGTTTCTTCAACTCGATGACATATTGACATATAAGAGGATGTCAGATTTTTCACTATTTATTTTTTTCATTGTCCCACGCACAACAAAACAAATGCATGATTAGCCAAACCAACCCGGGTTGGTTCTATTACTCAAATTTCGTACTGGCCTAAATATATATTTATAATTAGTAAGGTATAGCCAATAGGCAAACTTAAACTACATGTCTATATTTGATTTTAAGAAAATGATTTTTGTTGGTACATTGGTATGATTATTATATATAATTTTACAGTTTATGCACTGAACTATAATATACAGATTACAGACGGTATATTATTATTGTTGCGAACAGTTAATGTTTATTAACACATTTTTTTTTGCATAATTTTTTTTATATTTTTAAGTTAATATATAATGTATATATAATATATATAACGACGTCTCCAAGAGCCACTTTTCAATTTTCATGTAATATTAGGCGGGGGTGTGGGTCAAAGAGAGAAAAAAAGTAGTGCTCCGACATCTTAATCGACTTTTTTTTATTCTATCCCATATAAGTCCAAGGTTGTAAACCTATAAACTTGGTAGTTTCAGCTTAAGAGTCGAGTAGTCTTTGCAATTCAAGATCCTTTTCCTGCGTATTTGGCATTGTTAACCTAAACTATTCCACCTCCACACTTCTTATTCTCCCTTCTCTCACAACTATGCAGGTCTCACCACACTCTTCTTTAGTCTTCTCATCCCTCTCTTTCCCTTTAAACTTCCTTCTATAGCCACTCTCACTAGTCTCACTACCTCTTACCATACAGTGACCGAACCACCTCACCCTAGTCTCTCTTGTTTCACTATTTGCCACACTCACATTCCTTATCTTCACCATCTCATACACTTCCTATTCTCGGAATCTCTATAGTACCGACAGGTCATCGTGCCTGAAAATCGGTGAAAATATTTAAATATTACTTTAAAAAAATATCATGCCTGACCAATTTTCTAATTTTTATTATGATTTTATTGATAGCTTGAATAGTGTTATACCGGTAGTTACTAATTACAATATATAATTCAATTGAAACGTTGTGTGCAAGTGCAATACAAACCCAGATCAATTAACAATATTAAAAGAAAACCCACTGAAAAATAAGAAAAATACATACCCCATGTCCGAATCAAAATCTGGTGGAAAACTTGTCTTCGACACATTTCACACTGTTGAATATGATATTTTATTTCTAGTTGACAAATCTTCACTGACGAATACCATCTCTGAAAGAACACGCAGCCATTAAAATGTTCAACAATATTCTTTTGAACTATGTTTTTAAAGCATTACAGATGGATTACATAAGGATTTATGACTATTACTTATTATAGTATAGGTGTGTTTGGTTTCGTGATTCGCGGTCGTACGCTCTGAGTGTACTTACCAGCCACCGTTGTTAGCTCCTAGATGGGTGATACACCTGTACAAAAAAAACCTATACAAAAAAAACCCCTACCGTACCACGCCACTACCACCCTATACCTAACGGCATATGTTGCCACGGGTTCCTCCTAACCTATATCAAAGAGGTCCGTATTTACTAATTACAATTATTTCGTTGAAAACCAAAATAGTTTATAATTTTGAGTTTTTTTTTTATTAAACTTAAGCCCGGCGACAAAGGCCATTAGCTGTTGTAGGGGTTATGAACTGTAGTAGGGGTAAGGTTGATACGATAAGTTGTTTTTACGATTGTTACGATTGTTATGGTAGGTAGCAAACACGTGTATGTGTCATAGCAAGGTTTTTAACTACTATATGAACCCGGGTGGTCACTCATCCGGGAGCTAGTAGCTGTGGCCGTTACTTACTGCCAGTCGCATTCCGAGACTGGAAGCAGCCAACGCGCTACGCCAGGCCACAATTTTGAGTTTAATTTATAACAATATAACATATCATTTCAATTATTTTTTCCATTTATTAATATAAAATATTTCAACTAATTTTAAACTTCTATTGCCATAAATCCATTTGCACCATTATATGATGGGTACTTATCTCGATACTCGATATTGAGTTGTCCATTATTGTATTTAATTGATAGAATTTTTTTCAGAAGTAATCATTTTATACTACATAAGAAAAAAAAACTATTTAAAATGAATCTGTTATATTATAAGCTATTAAAATAACCATTATTTAAATTTATTTGTCGATAGTGATTAAGACTTTAATATTAGAGCAGTAATCGTCGTGTTCCTCTAATAAATTGTTTTTTTATTATTCTTAATATAATTTACATTTTGTACTTTTGGCATTTATTTCCATTATAACGATTTATAGCTAAATATATTGCATATATTTTTCGAAAAATACTTTAAAAAACCCACGAATAGTTCCTATTTTACGTCACAGTGGTTGATTTAACGACTGATATGATAACTGTGCAATTTTTTTGATCATAATTTGCTTCTAAAACTTCCAGAAAAGAGTACATTTAAAGACTGTGAGTCTTAATAACAGCCAATTTATAATATGAGAGGTGTATAATGTATATAGAATTTAAAGATTCGTAATATATTGTTTTAAATACTTCGCTCAAACGTAAGGTGTTACCCGGCGTATAGTTAGACAAAATGGTTACGTTTTAAACTTGGCATAATGAAACGAAGACGGCGTTTGGATTGTTGCCGTTCTAATAAATATTTAATTTAAATCCTTAAAGTACATTTAAACTTCAAAATAATATGAAAACAAACTTCAGCGTAAACATCGACTCTTCCGGTAAACACTATAGCTTTGCCATATATACTATCTAGCTTGCATACGTGCAGTGCCGCCGAACAAACAGCTCTCTTCATCCGTCTTCATATAGTTCCGAACTGAAACTTGAAAGTATTGAGATATTTTATGAAAACAACCTAAAGGTAACAAAATAAATTATGCGAATACCTGTTATATTATATACAGCAACAAATGAATGACGACAGTTGCCGATTTCCACAGATGTCAGATGTCAGAAGTCAGATATTATTTAGGTAATATGATCAATCCATGACCCTTATACTCAGTATGTAATCACATGTTTCTTTTTTAGCTTCATTATATTAACTAAATAATAATATATTATGATATTGTGTTTTCAAAAAATAATTGTTTTGAGTTTTGTACCTATACAACAAAGTAGGGAACTAGAATCATTATATGTCGTTAAAATATCCAATTTTCTAAAAATTAATCTCTCTATTATGTTTCGATTATGCAACAACGAAGGACTGGAAAACTCTGTGTCCTGAGGGCTATAATGACGTTTCTAGGTTCCTTGACGGAACAAATTTGTGTTTATCTTTCATTATTTTACTTATTCAATGAAATATAATATGCACTGTCAACAGTCCAGATTTATTAGGTTTGTGGTAGAGAGGGATGGCAAATTCTGAATACGTATTTGTAGAGAGCCTTAATAATATTATTATAAATATAAATATTATATAACTATATAAATATATAAATAATATTTAAATATCATTATTAAGGCTCCCTACATATTTGTGTACACCACCAATGTATAAATGTTACCACTGTGTATCAAAAAATTACTTATCGTTATCACTAATTAAACAAATCCAATAAAATAATTAT